TTGCCTAATTTTTTATATTTCTAGAGCACTTGAATTTTCAAAAAGCTACCAAAAGCACTTTTTTTCATAATTTTTCAAATTCATGTAGAGTTTGGAATTTAAAAAAAAAACAATAGCAAATTCTTGTAGAACATTATTCATTGGTGGTTAAGTCAGAACATTTCGTGGACCCAAAAAGAAAGCCAAAAAAATTTCGAATTTTTGTTTTCGTTAGGATTGAGCGTCTAGAAACTTCAAGCTTCAAATTGCTTTTTTTACGGCAACAATTTTTTTTTGTCCTTTAATTTTTTTCTATTAGTGTAGAACTTTTACATTGCTATTGGTTTCTTATGTGGAAACTACCAAATAATAAGAAATCAGATTTTCAATAATGAAAAATGTAATAATATTACATTTTACTTTATTATTAATATACATTTTACTCAAAATTTCATTTAGAGAAATTACTCCATTTTTAAGATTGATGTTATTTATTGATAGAATTTGCTTTATTGTAGCAGATTTAAAAGAAAAAAGCAGTTTTTTTCATGTTTTTTTTTCACATCTGAAAAACAACCGTTTTTTACATCTATAGATATAACTACTGGGTTAGAATTTATTAAAATCCTGATGTGCATTCTGGTAGAAATTCTGAGGTCAGATTCGGATTCAATGCATTAAACAAATACATTGGGAAAGTATACTCAATGTTGGTTGGATAAAAAACTTTTAATATACATTTTACTCAAAATTTCATTTAGAGAAATTACTCCATTTTTAAGATTGATGTTATTTATTGATAGAATTTGCTTTATTGTAGCAGATTTAAAAGAAAAAAGCAGTTTTTTTCATGTTTTTTTTCACATCTGAAAAACAACCGTTTTTTACATCTATAGATATAACTACTGGGTTAGGATTTATTAAAATCCTGATGTGCATTCTGGTAGAAATTCTGAGGTCAGATTCGGATTCAATGCATTAAACAAATACATTGGGAAAGTATACTCAATGTTGGTTGGATAAAAAACTTAAAATTTAGGACAAAGAAGCAAAAACCAAATATTTATATTTATAGAACAAAATAATTAAAATATAAAGATAATTATTGATAAAGACGTCGGGTAAAAGCTATAAAGCTATATAGCTTAACTTAATAGCTATATAATAATAATAATAATAATAATAATAATAATGAGCTTAACTTAATAGCTATATAGCTTAACTTAATTAAGTTACAAATTTATTTTTACCATAAAGAAATGTTTTTCGCTATTTTTTAATCTTAAAAATAGTTTTTTAATTTTTTTTTAATAGTTCCTCCTAGAAACTAATGTTTGGTAACTAGAAACAATTGTTTGAAAAAAAAATTAAAGATTAAAAAATAATTTCACCCAACAGCTTTTCTCCCGAGTTCTTCGACTATCAAAACAATTTCTTATTTAGTGAAAGAACTTTGCACTATTTACACCTACTCTTCAAGATGAAATCTGTTCAAGTAACAGGTGGACGCGTCGATTAGCACCACAGGGGAAGGCTAAATAATAAATGTAGTGGTGCCAACCTGTTGAGTTTTACTGAGGGTAAAACGCGGTGTGGGAATCGCAGGTGGTCAGGGAAAAGTCGTAAATGTAATTGAGTTGTAAGTGGCTGGATATGAAAATTAAGTTCAGCCCTGAATATTAATTTGCCAGATAATATTCCTAATTGTTTTGCTGTTAAGTGGAAACATATCTTCTGTTGGCTTAGATAAGTTGTTTATTGATTAATTATTTTAGGCCATTAATAAATGATACTTATGCAGATTTTATCATTGCACCACTACTGTAAATTAGCATCATACAAAATTGAATCCATAATATGCAAATTATATGTATTCATAAATGCATATATTATATAGGTATAATTATAATATCATTATACTATTAAAAGACAATCCTATACCCTTATAACAAGAATTTGATGTACATACCTATATAACCAAATTAGTTGGACTAACTAAAATAAAGCTTGACATAGTATGTTAAGTATTACTAAAGGACAATATAATTTTTCTTAAAAACAAATTTTGTCCACATTTTTAAATATTTATTAACGCAAGTAAATATATTTTTACCCTTAAACATTATTTTGGTTAACTTTATGGATATAAATAAAGAGTGAAACACTATGAGGTCAGGTTTCCACCAAACGAACTACTAACCTAAATAGTTGGGGTGTCATACTTAGATTACAAATAAAGGATTATCTTCTCCATCTAAAGGGGGATAAAAACAGTTTGTTAAAGGGATGAAAACGGCGGTTACAATGAAATTTAAGCTTTTAAAAATTAAAATGATGGATAGGCACTTCCATAAAATCCTCGATCAAACAACTAAAAACCACGCTAATGGAATTTTGCGAGAACAAAAACGACGTGAAGAGGAAATACACTTGTAAACAAAAGTATTTATTTTAAAGGTTTTTAAAAGAATTTTTCTACTAAAACGCCCTTTATCTTACATTTTTCAAGACACTAAGTGATCTTTTAAATACAAATTGACAAGTTGTGGCTTTATGGCGCTTTAGTCACGGGCTAAAGTAAGCAAAAGGTTTTTATTCAAGGGGTGAAGTTAGTTTTAAATTAGTTGAATGGTTAAAATAAAGTGCCTTTCTTCAATATTTTAATATATTACATTTATTACATAACACCTTGTATTAAGTATTTCATAGAGAAAGTATAGTACAAAAATGTATTCTCTACATTTTATCGTGTATTTTTTATTGGTGAGTCAAATGCATTATTATTATTATTATTATTATTATATTTTAAAAAAGAAAAATATTGTCAAGGTTGACCCTAATCCAATTATGTTAACCTGTCTCTAAAAACAATTAAAATTTTAAAGTTTAAGTAACTTGGATTAAATTTGCAATACTTTTGTTGATGAGTGTATAACACCACGCAGAGAGAAAATTCGCGAGACATGCTGAAACGCTTCTAGAAATGCGTTTCGGGATCGATTCCCCCATTTCAATTGTGATATGATTCCTTCCACGATTGCAAGACACTTTAACATTATGAATACAGGGTTTGAGTTGCCGGCAAGTGACATCAAGTGGCCCGAGATATTGGCTCCCGGTTCTCCTATTTAACTTTCAGATCTCTGAGCCAGAAAACGAAGATCTGAAGTTAAAAAGCAAAGCCAAGCCAAGGTTTTATATGACCCAAGAATTAATATCCAAATAAATTAAAAATGTAGGGTAAAAAATAAAAAAAAATATTTTACTCCCACCTTATATAATAATATAAGAATTAAGTTAATTTTTATGATTATTTAAAAACTGAAGCACTAATGCAATAGTCATAGAGGAAAAATTGCTAATGGATGCAACTTATAACATGACACTCTGAAGATACAAATATTTAAATTAATTAGTAATACATTATTTTTTACAATAACATTTGTCATAGAAAAAGAATAGTACGCATCTTGTTCTAGACCCTTTCTCGCTTAAGGATTAAATAATAGTTTTTTCAACAATTTTAAATTAATATAGAGGGCATATACCTACGTAATATTCGTTTTATTCCATCCAAAGAACTAATTAATTAATCTAAAAAAGTAAAACTTTTATCTTCATAATTAATTTTTGAGGGTATATTTTTCACAGCCCAAATTAAAAGAGAAACTATTTTACGAAATTTACTGACAATTTTGTTAAATCAGGCGTTGCATCTGATTGACGCATTTTCTATTTGACGACAGAAACGTGCCGAATTCCAAAATCAGCTTCTTATTTGTAAGCTTCAGCTTCGACTTGAGTTGATATGTATTTTGTAGCAGACAAGCAGTTATTAGATTTCCTTTTTGGAAAAATAAAGGGGAACGTTCTATTTGCTTTGTAATTCAGAAATAATACACAACATTAATAATTCCGTGTCAGAATAGCGTGTCGATGTAAATCAAAAAATGATACAAAACACACAGACGATTTTACTGTATACGAAACCAGTGATTAGAGTTTGGCGTCGTTTAAAACGTTTTATGATAAATGTTGCCCTAAAAGACTTACATAATGCGTTTTAACGCTGGCATTCATAACATGTAATGACTGGTTCTGCTTTCTGTTGGGGAAACATGTTAATGTATTTTGGCTGGCAACGATCAAAAGATCAGTGCTGGGTAAAAAGTAACACAAAAAATTCTCACCCAAATTAAAAACATGTTTTTTCCCGATTTGGTTTTTTTCACTAATTTACTACCTCCTTTAAAACTACCATTATCGTACATGTTTTTATAATACTAAGTTACCTTTTAAATACCCTTGTATTTCATGCTTCATATTTGCTCATACATTTTCATAAATTATCACAAGTAAGATTGCCAGATCGTTAAATATATTAAAAAGTAGTGGACCCAGATTAGAACCCTGAGGTACACCAGATGATGCAACAAATTATGGCGACACATATACGTTGTAAGTGACAACTTGTTTTCTTTTGGCAAAATATGAATTAAAAAGTGTTAATAAAGAGTCACTAAAACCATTATAATCTAGTTTATTTAGTAAAAAGCTTTTGCAAAGTCAATATACAACTCTTTTTTAAGTGTGTGAAATAACTAACATATATTTTATATATTTTATCAAAACATGATGATACGCCAATGTGGAAAAGAGAAATCAGATAAAGGAAGAGACACGTCGATGGAAATGGCCACCCATTAATAATTGTCACGACAATTTGACGAATGTCGTCCGTAACACCCCTTTGCCGCATTAATCTGGGGTGGCTGTTACTTTGCTACGAAGCGCACTCCGATCTAATCGTGCACAAAACAAAAATAAATACATTAGAGGACCAAAGTAAATCTAATTGCGCTCTCCTACAATGAAACAACCAACTCAATTAGAGGGTAGACTAAGCGCAGACTGCTGGTCTTTGATTTAATAAATCATAAAGTAATTTGTAGCTATAATTCATTATTAAAAAATGTCAATTTACATATATATATTACTGATTTGGTTTCCTTTAATTTCAGGAAAGCAAATCAATATGAAGAATTCGACGGCAAAAAGAAAAAAGACTCGATACCTGCAGACGATTTAAGTTCACCAGAAAGCATCCCTGAAATAGAAAGGCCACCTTTAAGACACATCGACAAGTACATAAGACCTGAAATACCATGCCTGACAAAAAGAGCAACAGTGGCTCTGCTATGCTGTGTCGGGTTCATCATCATGTTCGGCATGCGAACCAGTATGGGAGTAGTAAAACTGAAACTAGTAAGTACCTGTAACTATTACATTTATTAATTAGAGATAAAAAACCATTTAATGGTTTATACCATTCGGCCAAGAAGGTATTTTTTTGCTCTCTTATGGACAAAAGACAACCTATATTTTTAAATAAACACTTTTCTTTTTATTAGAACAACACTTGGTCTCCAGAAACCCTCTCAGCAGTAGACTCGGCAATTTTTTGGGGTTACTTCGTAACCCAAATCCCAGGGGGTTTGATAGCAGCAGCATACCCAGCAAACATCCTATTTGGAGCAGCAATAGGCATATCGTCGTTTCTAAATCTTATAGTACCTCTAATATACCAAAATCCTGACGTGTTAATTATTGTTAAAGTTATGCAAGGTTTAGTAGAGGTAGGTTATAAATATTGTTGTCTTCAAAAGACCACTTTAGATATATCTATAGATAGATTTATTTCATCGTTCAAAAGATCAAGTCAAGCATTTCAGAATTTCCAGAAATGTGGACCGTTTGTTAAATTACCATAAGATTGTTTATACTTAATTTTTCTGTAAGAAAGATAAATACAATTTTCTAAAACCTTAAAACGATATTTCTAATTGAATATAAACTTGATGAAATAGAGCCATTAAAAAAAAGCATAGTTACTTTTGGTGCAAATTTTCTTAAAGAATTTGATTTTTAGGGTGTAACATATCCAGCATGCCACGGTATCATGCGTCATTGGGCTCCCCCATTAGAAAGATCCCGCTTAGCGACTTTAGCGTTTAGTGGATGCTACGCCGGTGTTATGTTTTCGTTGCCTATTTCCGGGGAAATGACTGAAAATTTAGGAACCCTGTCTCCGTTCTACTTTTACGGAGTCATAGGCATAATATGGTACTTTTGTTGGATATGGTTGGTGTTTGAGAAACCTTCGTACCACACGTGCATAGAGGCGAAGGAGTTGTTGTATATTGAGAACGCTCTTGGTACCAGTCAGCAAGTTTACGTCGCGCCTACTCTGTTAAACACTCCGTGGAAGTCGTTTTTTACTTCGATGCCATGCTACGCCATCTTTGTGGCGAATTTCTGCAGATCTTGGAATTTTTATATACTTGTGCTTTTCCAAGCGGCGTACTTTCAGGATGCTTACCACTCTGGAGTTCAGGAGGTAAGTTGATTAAGTTTTTGTTGTAGAGCCTAATATTTAACGAAATACCTTTTCTTCTTCAGAACACTCTTTTGGGCGCACTTCCCCACTTACTAATGACAATCGTAGTACCAAGCGGAGGTATCCTGGCCGATAAACTACGTAAAAAAGGCATCCTAACGACAACACAAGTACGAAAACTGTTCAACTGCGGTGGTTTTGGCATGGAAGCCACCTTTTTCTTGATAATGGCATATTCGAAAACCATTACGCAGGGAATGACGGCATTATCTATTGGTGTGGCATTCAGCGGTTTCGCCATTTCTGGGTTCAATGTTAACCATTTGGATATTGCTCCGAAGTATGCCAGTATCTTGATGGGAATGTCCAATGGGATTGGTACCATTGCTGGGTGTTTATGCCCATTTGTGGTGCACAAAATTGTTCTTGATAAGGTAAGATATTCCTATATAAGTATACTTGAGGCCTGTCAGAGCAAAGTCAACAATCTCCCGTCAGACTAAAACTGAGTAAATTGAGATAATTGATTTTGGTATTTTAAATTCTAAATTTGTAATTTTTTTTATATATTATATTAAAATATTGTTGTTGTTAGTCTAGTAGCAAACTACAAGGTCTCCAGGATACACAGTATAGGTGAAATCTATAATTATAAATTGGAGATTACTGACATTGATATATCATATATGAATTGCTGGAGATTGCTCATTTTGTTGTAAACGTTTAAGGAGATTTAGAAAAATAAAGAAAAAAATAATTGTATTTTTTTCCTTTAATGGTTATAAAATTTAACTATACAATCAATGTGGGAAAATTCTGAACTGGACCACATAAATCTGGAGTTTCTTCTAAATCTGGGACCAGGTTGCCTCGTGCAAAAAAGTTTTTATAGTACAACAACTCATCATCTTCTTCCCACTTTGCCCCGTAATGTTTTACTTGCAATGTTTTGACATTATCAGCCTTTTCTTGCTTTACCTTTACGTCTTATTATGGTATAATAGCACAAAATAAACAAGATAACTTTTTTTATAATTCTTAAAACAATAAAACGTATACCTATTTTAAATATATTTTTAAGTGCAATTTACTGCAATAGAACTTAACAGTATGTACCAGTAAAAAAACACAAAATTAAATCTCTAAAATACGTTATAACATCAAATGTTAGGATATCAGGTGACACAAATTACTAATTTCTAATGGTGGAATTGGATATTGTATACTTTGCTGCAAATCTATCAGTGGAGATTGTCGACTTTGCAATAAATATCATTTTTAAAATAGGATTTTAGGCAGGATTTAGCTCCTTTTGCAGCACATAAACTTTATCATCTTATAGATAATTAGTTGAAGTACAGTCTCCGCCAAAAATCTAATTTTTGACCAAAAGTGGAGATTGTCGGTTTTGCTATGACAGGCCTCATATATACTATATATAATTTAAATGGTTAAATTTTAAACAGTGTAAACATTTTTTTAGATTTATTGCTTAATTTAATAAATTTCGCTTTCTATATACATGCAATACAATTCCATGTTCCTATTTTTCATAAAAAAAGAAATGCTGAGAGCAAATTTTCCATGTGGTAAAGCGTTTGTTCCCAGTTTATTTAAATCCAGTTTTAAGTTTGATGCGGTATAATTACCCTAAAAATCTTAGTATTAATAATTAAATTAAAACATAAAAATCATATTACTTTGGATATTGGACAGCCAGGAGAAATGTTTGCATATTTCAATATATCTGATAGAACTTTACTAACAAGGACTTCGTCAAAATATGTACAGAAATTTTTATTGGAATGAAAAAGAACTTGTTTTTTTCCATTGGATTTTAAATGATATAGATGTACATTAGCCTTAAATAAATACATTTTTATATATAAGAAACATATTTTTATTTGCAATATTACCAAGATATCTTTGTCCATGTCCACTGAAGTATAAATTTTTAATGATAAGAATTGGGAACCAGCTTTATCTGTTCGTATTTTGGATACCACATTTCCGAGATATTCCTTGGTTCTATTACAACTTTCTAATTTTGTTAATTTAATGTCTGCATATACCTTTAAAAATAACATAATATAACATAAAAAGAACCTAAAATATAAATTAGCTTACAAGATTATAAAAAATCACACTAACGATTGCGAATTTCATTTTGATACAGCTTGACCACTTCTATATGGTGCTTTGTTTTATTTAATAGCCAAGCGGATATTAGTGTATGGTACATTTGTGTTATCTATGTATAATCTTTATAACATTAATATATTAACTACTAGTCATTAAATTAAAAAATTATGTAATGTGATATCATTGTCCTCTATTATATCACAGAGTGGAAGCACAATTGGTCAAGCAGTTTTTATTAATAAGGAAAATAATTTTGCAAAACTCCTTATTGTTTATTTGCTTTATATATTGGGAAAAAGGATTATAAGGTATAAAAACTAAATAATTCATAAGTTGTACAACTTGATGTCACCAGTCAATAGAGTAGGTATTTTAATATTTTTTGTAAATATTTTTGTATATTACAAAAGATCCAGGTTTTCTAACTTGTCCACCCAATTTTAATGTATTTTTTCAAAAGCATGTTTGCAGAAAAACATAATAAATATTCAAAATCTTAGCGTGTCACAACTCCTGAATCAAATATTTAAGTGATTTTATTTTAAAATATTTTCAATTCATCTTAAATTTTTCAATTTTACTACAAACTATAAAACATTAAATGATGTATTTTTCATATTTTATCATAGAGTCGAATAATAGCAATTTTTAAAAAATTGATTATCTTTGTACTCACTTTTACCCGTCAGTTCTATGTCCAATGTTAAAATTCAAAATTCCTGCGAAATATTGAAGTTTAAACGGCAAGTCCTCGTTTTATCTCAAGTGTTGGTAAAAAATTACCTACAGAGCCCGCCCTTTGCACGACATTCATCTTGAAAACAATGCAAGCGGCGAAGTTGTAGTGAATGCACGTATAGTTCCAGTCAAAATTTCAGTACTGTGGTGAGTAGTTATTTTCTTACGTTTATATATTTCATTGTAATTTATATAAGGCTATATGTGATTTGTTGATAAGTGGCATCCTTTAATAAAAACTATCAGTAAAATACTTAATTCCAAATCTCAAATTTTATCCCATTCATCAGTACCGTGTCGTCAGTTCCATGTTCGATGTTTCGGTTAAGTTTTTTTCGCAAACTTCAATTTAAATTCTGCTTGCGCAGAACTTGTTTATTTAATGTCATTATAAACTCATATGAATTTGGTGTGGGTCCCATATCTAATAATTGAGATATCGGTATACCCAAAATCCATCAGCCGCCACTGATGTGTGGTAATATTTGATTTTAATATATTTAATGTATAATATGCTCAAAGTTCCAATAAATCTTATATTTTCCAATAAATTATGTATTTAATTATTACCCTGGTATACTCGTCACTTCCCTTGCATTCAAATTTATAAAATTAAAATGTCTTTTTTTCATTTTTGCAAAACGATCCAAAACCTTATCGGTATTTATTTTTATATCCTTATGTACATGAAACAATGCTAATCCTACTAGTCTTTCTTCACCTGTAGAAGCCCGAAGACAAATCTTTATTTTTCTTTTATTATGTTACACTTTAAAAACTATTCATAGATTTAGCCAATTTCCTTACATCTTTCCTGGTATGATTATAAATATTGCGGAAAAGTTTCACTTCTAAATGGTGTAGTATGAATGCACGTTAATTTTTTTAAATGTGTGCTTTTCTAGATTATTAAGCAATATAAATAGATATTCCAATAAAATAATATAGTTTCTTTATGAAAATACATAAAGGAAAAACAGAGCTTTATAAAGAATCACATTTCCTTAAAAAAATCAGACAGATGTAATAAAAAATTCTTAAAACTCTCCTCCATCGAGGATAACTCAATTTAACTCGTCGCTCGTAATTTTCCAGTGTCGGTTTCGCACGGACGCGCTCCGGGCCCGGAGAACAATGGCTCCGGAGTCGAGCCACGAAGGGAGAGAAATATGAGTGACGGATGCACGACGCTTTGCAACGTTCCGTTTTTGCGGAACGCGCGCTGCGGACGCGCTCGTGTGTGAAAAGTGAACGGGGATTTCCACCCCTAAAACCCCCGTGTGACGGCTTTTTGAGTTATGATCGCGATCATAGCGCATCGATGGGCTATCTCTCTCTCTTTTTCTCTTTGTCCGACTCCTTGCTAATTAACTGCGGTTTGATGCACTTCGCTTTTAAAATGTTAAAAATGATGTTGGGTAGTGCGTTTTAAATATATTTTATATATACACTCACAGGCAAAATTTTCGATGAATTTTAATCGCAAATAACTTTTTTATTTGATTTCGGATTTAAACAAATATTAAAGAATATTGTAGATACATTAATGGAGAATCGCTCACATTTTAAAAAATTACTAAAAAATACACGTACGTTTATAATATACAGGTTTAAACATAAATATGTTTTTTACCATAAGTTTAACACTGTAGAGTGGCAAAACCGTATATTGTTCTAAATTAAGTTTTAATTATCAAGTCACATCTATTTTTAACAGTTTTGTTTTTGGTTCACCTTGATATATTTATTTTTTTGGAAAATATGGATTTTTTTAAAAAACATTTCAATTTCCAATATTTTTCCTGTATGAAGAACTAAAGTTGTTATGGTCCATCCATAGCCTATGGAGGATGACAGTGACAGTTTTGTTGAATCATCCCATACTTGGACATGTCATATACAGCTTTCAAAAGCTATCAAATTGTTTTTTGTAAATTAATGTGTTAATTTTGAGGTGTCTTCTTACTTTTAAAAATGTTTTCGACTGATGTTGCCCTTTGTACTTTACTTCTTGTGACGTTTAAAACACTTGCCACGTAATACTGTAGAATTTTGAATCTTACAGAACACTTTAATTTTTCCAGACTAAAGAGGAATGGAGAGAAGTTTTCATAATATCGGCCGTTATCCATTACTTGGGTATCGTCTTTTATGGCATATTTGCATCAGGAGACCTGCAACCATGGGCGGACTCTAACGCTGAAGAAGAAAAACAATGGAATCAGATGAACGAAGCTCCCATCAAAAAATCACCAGTAAGTTATAAAGCACTTGATTAACTATAAACACGACTTTTTTGTTTCCCTTAAACTTTATTTTTTCATCATTTTTACATAGGTATGTACTATGCTCCACACCTCAAAGTCCCACCACGTGACCACGTACGGAACGCAGTCTTTTGAAAATTTGGCATTTAAGACTTTTCAGGTTATGTATTTGTCAAAGTATAGTCAACGAAAGAAATAATATTATGTTTAGGCGTTAAAAATGTATAAATCTTTATTACATTAGAATAACAATGGATGGTTTAAGAATTTAAGAATATAAATACTGCATTTAATGAAATTCTAAAGTGTATGGTGCCAAATAAGTAATATTTTTGTGCATTTGGTCCAAATATCTGGTTTTCTCCATAAAATAATTTTAAATAAACAGCATTTATTAAAAAAAATCTAGCTTCTCTATTATGGAATAAGAATACGTGTTTTAAAGGTAGGTTAATATATTATAACAAAAATATCATCTAATTTTGTAATTTTAAGGTTAGAAAAATTTATTTTGACCAAAATAAATAAGTATTTTGGATTATTTAAAAGACTGTATATTATGGTATTTAAAAATGTAGTTTTTCTTATCCAGCTTAAAGTGTACCTACAGTTTTGTCAATACAAATAGTTAAAAAGCTTCGACTGAATTTGATCTATATCAAAAAATCATGATAACTTTAAAATTTTTAATAAATCACATGTCATGGGAGTATTAGATATTTTTACATTGCAAGTTTCTCTTAAAAATGTTTGTTTTCTTATAATATAACTTAAAGTAGGTATGCCGAGAGGTATGCACAAGTTTTGTCGTTAGAAGTATAGAAGCTTCAATTTAATTTGAACTATATTTAACAATTATTTAGTATACTTATATTTATTTATGACCATATTAACACACTCTTTCAAATAATCCACTTATTTATTTTGGTCAAAATAGATTTTTCTAACCTTAAAATACAAAATTGGATAATATGTTTTGTTCTTGTTCTTGATACAGATATTCTTATTTCATAATAGAGAAGTTAGATTTGTTTTAATAAATGCTGTTTAGTTAAAACTATTTTATGGAGAAATGTAGACCCAATGCACAAAAATATTACTTATATTGCACCTTACACTTTGGAATTTCATTAAATGCAGTATTTATATTCCTAAATTCTTAAACCAACCATTGTTATTGTGATACTATAAAGATTTATTAACTTTTAACGCTTAAACATAAGCGGTAACACTATAAATATTATTTCTTTCGTTGACTATACTTTGACAGATACATAACCTGAAAAGCCTTAAATGCCAAATTTTCAAAAGACTGCGTTCCGTACGTGGTCACGTGGTGGGACTTTGAGGTGCGGAGCATAGTACATAATTAAATCTTGACATCATCTTTTTTCCAGTCCCAGAGTAACGGTCTCCTGCACCGGCAACTGAGCGGCGCCGCTAGCGGCTACGGCACCGTGGAGACGGCGCTACCGGCCAGACCGCCGCCCCCGCCTCGCCAACTATCGCAGGAGACTCCTGTAAGGCCCGCCCCGCCCCGCCAACTGCCGCAGCCGCAAGCGCCACCTGCCGTTCCCGTCGGCAACCCGTTTTTAGCTTCTTCCGGTACGAATCCCTTCAGACAGGAAGCTGTACAGCCTGCGGCGCAAGACAGTTATCTGCACGGGTCGGTCGAGGACAGGGCTTATTAAGGGGCTTAAGGGTTTTAAGGTTGTCAGGATTGTGGAAATGTTGGTAACATTAAGAACAAAAAAGTCAAAATAGTGTTAATGGTACTACATTACCAGGTCCTGCCCTTGTGATTAACAATATAATAGATTTTTTCAACTATTGGAAAACTCTGATTAGTAACACTATGTAACATGATATTGTTTATCTGGATTTTATTACACAAATCGAAACTCAAAAGTTAACGTGAGATTTTAAATGAAAGGTTTCCTTGGTAACCACAAAAGAGAAAATTATATTGACCTTGTCAAAGTTTCATTAGGAAGTTTTAAAGAAATGGGATGCCGCATGTCGTTGAAAGTACCTACACTATTTGCATTCGCATCTTGACTTTTTCCGTGAAAATCTGGGAGATGTCAGCGAAGAACATGAAGAAAGATTTCATCAAAATATTCGGGCAATGGAAAAGTGATAACAAGGAAGGTGGGATGCGACAATGATGGGTGACTATGTTTGGAATCTACTTCGGGAAGAAAATGCATCATATAAAAGAAAAAGTCGTATTAAAATTCATTTTTGAGCCAAGACTTAAAATCTATGTTAAGAAAATATTTTTCTAGATTGTATGTTTTGTTAAAATAATAATTCTGAGTTGAATTTCTTGCCATTTCTAGTCAATATTTTTTTTGTTTTTGATAAAACTGGGTTTGATTATATTATATAAATACCCCTTAAAAATAAAAACTTATCACTACATTTTTTAAATTAAGTTAGAATAGTTTTTTGGCACACAAATATTGATAATTTAACAAAAAAATCCAATAAACAAAACAAAAATCAAATTTTGTTACATAGTGTAATCAGTGATTACAAGCTGACGTCCTGCTAAAATCCAAAGGGTCGTATTCTTCAAGTTAAAACATTATAATGGGTTATTTCTCATACCGTATTTGGCCTTTGTTAATGTGGTTTTCTTTAGTACATATTAAATTCCGAAATTTTCAAATTTTAGGGTTAAGGACGATATATGGGATTTTGGTAATAAAAACCATGAATATTATTTTTTCAAAATTAAAATCATTATAATTTGTATTAATTTTCCTCTCATTTTAATAGAGTAAATGATATACCACACTTTAAACTGGATAGCTACAATAATATTTTTTACTTTAAAAAGGTTTTAATGTTGCCAACATAAAATATAATATTTAAAAACAGCACACCAGGTAAGGATTTGTATTCCTAACAAAATCAAATAAGTATTACTAGAAATTAGACAATTAAATAATTGTGACCTGACAATACGATAATCAAAATTATCCAAATTAGTGATCGATCTAACACTACCAAGTGACTTTACAAAAGTGCAATTAATAAAAAATCACCATTTGTAAATATACTTGCATTTGTTAAAATTCGCACAGATCTACAAAGATTTATGTATATCTATACGTTTATTCCGTATAGAGTTGTTAGTGTATTTAATAAAGAGCACAATTTTTCGTTATCGAGCACAACATTAAAATTTTAATTATAAAAGCACAGGCAAGAGTCTGCCAGCCTTACTTGCACCTTTGAAAACAAAACCTTACCTGGGAACATGTTATAAATATTTAACAACGAAATTTATTTTATTTTTTTTAAACTGACATGTTTACTTTAAAACGTATACGGGGTATGTAGAACATACGCACATATAATTTAAGTTATAAAATATTTTATTGTTTCCAAGAAACTTGATGTAGTTCGTAAATAAGATTATTAAGTAGATAATAAGTTTTTGAAAAGGCATTTAAAAAAAAACAAATTTACAAAAGTAATGCATTAATTGGTCAATTTTTTAAATTATAACGTTATATAAACTAAAAATTTTGTTATAAATTGTTAAAAAATAATAATAACAATTTAATAATAAACAACCATATTTATTAACAGTTAAAGTATCTTTGGAAATATTTATAACAAAATTATTAAATGAGTGTATACAATTTTTGGATTTTTTCGACTATATTAGGTATAAAAACCAATAATTATAATAATTATAACAATGAATTTCTGAAATTTAACAATTTATTTTGTAAAAATTCGCGAAACAGCAATTACCATGCATGTATACATGTACACATGTGCACATGTATACATGTATGTGTACATGTATACATGGGTACGGAAAAGTTTTTTTTCTCCGTGTATCAATTAATATTCTCAAGTTAATTTATGTTTGCCATATAAAATTATATTTTAACATAAAATGTAAATATATGAAAATTAATTTTCCATGCCAGAAAAATAAGATATTGTAGCATAGCACCTAGCACCTAGCACCCAATGTATGAATGCACAAAATAATATTAAAAGCACTCTTAGTTTTTTTTAACCACATTTAAGGCACTTTTTAGCACAATGTAAATATTCGCTGTATTTTTTGTCACTATAGCACAAAATGTTATGTTTTTATTTTATTTATTTAATTTTTAACTAAAAAAATAAAGTTGCTACATCATGCATTTAAATGATATAAATAGCGAAGCGAGTGGAATCTCATGTTTTGACCAATAGTCGCACGCAATATTTTATTCAACTACCGCATGGAATTAAAAGCAAATTCAAACATTTTTAACCACACTGCATTCCAATTTAAAGCTTAATATTAAAATGCACATTTAGCACTACTTACCATTTTTTTTTTAATTTATACACAAATATAATTATTTAAAGACAATAAATAAAAGCACGCCTTGCACATAGCACTTTTTAATTATTTCAACGTTTATACTTTATATGTTATATATGAAAATATATTGTACATAATATGTAGACGTATGCTTGTATAGATTGTTTTGTAGATAAATTTTATTTTTCTGGTATGTGTACATATTTTAATTTCGAATTATATAAAAACTATTTTGCATGACACAGAACTACCGTAATTATAATAATTAATATATTTTAGTCCTCCAAAAATTAAAGTAAAACCTACTATTTTTTAAACAACAATGTCATAATAACTCTTTATAATTTATTATTGTACATATCTATTGTACCATGCAAAATAGAACGATTTTATTTTATTAAAATGTATAAAATAGTATTGATACTAATAATTTGGGTTACACCCAGGCTGTGCTGACAATAAATTTGATGGGATATGTCCCATCAAAAAATTAATATTAAGGAAATTATTTTAAGATGAGTATAAACAGGGGAAGGTTTTTTGAAGAAAATAAAAAGTAAATGAAATAAAAAGGGCGCGAGTGTAATAAATTAGAATAAGAGAGATTATAATTTAATGTTGTTAGGCTTATTTTTTTGCTATTTTTTTAAATGAAAAATTATATTTTTTTCTGGTTATTTACAAAAAGTACGTTACAAACATAAAAATTGCCGCTACCTACAAATGATAAAAAACTAAAAATATAAAATATTTTTATAAAAAATATTTTGTCCCACACTCACTTGAAATTGAAACATTATACGCTTCAAAAACATTTTTGCCTGTATATTTATTAATGTAAATTATAGTAAGTATACATAGTACTATGTATACTTACTATAATTTACATTAATAAATATACAGGCAAAAATGTTAATAGGGCTAAAGTAAGGTTAAATCCGTTTTACAGATGAATAAGGTTCGTCAATTCGTTTGCAATTGCAGCTGTTTGTTATTGTTAATGTTAACTAAGTATAATGATTAATGTTTATTTGATTGTGGGACAAAATATTATTATTATAATTACAACATATTATGTGCAACTCGTGAAGAATGGTCGCATTAAATGAATTGCTGGTTCAGAATTGCCCATTTCCCTCACTCGTTGCACAATATACTATTAAATATTAGTTTATATTGTTTTTATTTATATTATATTTTATTGTATATTAGATATTTTTTAAAATAATATTTTCTTAACAAAAGAAAAAAATATGAAGAATGATAAAGTAGATATAGGAATAATAATATAAATTAAAAATATTATTGACATCTGAAATAAATGAAAAAACATCTACGAGTATAGCACTAAGTAGTTATTTATACTCGTACTCTTTTGTCAAATAAAATTTAAACAGTATACATTAAAATAAATAAGCGTATATTTCCGCGACAATGTTTTAGTATTAGAAATACAAATTCAGAATAATTATAGTTAATTTAATTTATTCCAATAATATATTATCAAAATTGTGTCAAAATTAAAAGTGAAAAATATACTTATTTTGCTTTTTAAACAATTAAATATCCTATGCATTATTTACCAAATTATTTTTTTATGATATTTTTTTTTATCAAATTATTTTTTTATCAATTTTTTCTTCTTAAATTATTTTTTTATAAAATAATTTCTCTATCAAATTATTTTAATTATTTTTTATCAAAAAAAATAATTTGATAAAGAAATAATTTGATGAAAAAGTTATTTGGCAAAAAAATAATTTTATAAAAAACAATATTTGACAAGAAAAAATAATTTGGTAAATAATGCATATAATTAATTATTTATAAAGTAAAATAAGTGTATTTTGCAATTTTAATTTTGTCACAAACGGCGCCTCATAAGTTATAATCGTAAAAATCAATAATAATAGGCTTAAAAATAAATGTGTAAATACCTTTATTTCACTAACTTTAAAAATAGAATACTACAAAATGCAAATTAAATAAAATATTATTAATAAAGTTAATGTGAAGTGTATATAAATGTCTAAATTATTCTGCAGATTGCTCAAATTTATTTGCAGTATATAAGTACCCCTTTTTCAAAATATAATTGTAAATATTATAGAATCGTAAATTTTTTATTTAGTTTGTGAATTTTTAATGTTTATAACTGCCGAAGACAAAAAATCAATTATTAATTTATAAATATTTTAGGAAAAATATACGTTATTTGTGTTATATACTTTATAAAATTGTGATATAATTAGTTTCTTATGTTTTAACAAATAATTTAATTGGGCTTTAAAATACCTAATTATAATTATTGATCTAGTTTTAAAACTTAAAAAGTTTTAAATCTAGAACTTACTTTACAGTGTGGTCCTTCATGATGTTCTGCTATTTAAAATCACCTCATTTCGTTTTAACATTTGTGTTGGCGTATCATTTAGGAACACCCTGTACTTACTATAACAACATGTTAATGTTATGTAGTGTTTAATTTAAACTATGTGTCCTGTTTGACTGGACTAATAGCGATACTTTATCATTATACTTTTTGTATTATCGTTATGGTTGTTAAGGTTTTAACACTATTGTTTGTAGTTTTAGCAATAAAATCATTCAAATTAAATTAAAAATGTATAGACTATGAATGTTAAATGTTTCTATCTCTTTTTATATCTCTCTAACTTGTCAATATACACGAAATTTTTATTTTGGTGGCGTCGAGTAAACCTATTTTTAACATTGTGTGCACAGTTGTAAAAAATTTAAATGCTGCGAAAATAAAAATTTTCACTGTAGTGTTTTTTGGTTGAGCGATGCTTCTACTGCTATGTAAAATTTTCGTTGAACCTTTTACCAAAAAAATTAAACCTAAATTTTCAAAAAGACGAAACGTGTTTTTGGAAATTTTTGTGTTACATATGGCGTTAGTATAGAGGCAATAATTAAAAAAGCATATGTGACGCATTCTGAGGAAAGCGATCTAAGCGTTATAAATTAATTCAAACTGCTCTTGAATTATCAGTCAGATATAATTTACTAGGGCAATCGACTGTTTTTTCCTTTCTCCTCTAAAATGAGCGCTGAAACGTTTAGGTCCCTTTTCTCTGAGCGCATCACATATATTTATGTATATTAATTAGTGTTTTAAATATCGGCATATCTCTGTGTTATCTACATAGTATAACAAAATATTCCCTATCGTTATCTGAGAAACTTACCCCAAAAAAAGTTTTTCGGTGTGCATGTTACTAAGAATCTACTTAATTCTTGTAACCCTTATTAGTTTCTTTAGTAATGTTATAAATGTATTTAAATTTGAAATGTGATGGTATTTAATTATATGTAAAAAGTAAAATAAAATGTAATAAAATCGTTAACAAGATAAAATATTTTATTAAAATTAATTCTATATGTACACAAAAAATAAATAATACAGTTTTTGGGCAAGATCCACAATAACTGCTTTCTTAAATTAGTTAGGTTTGAGTTTTTTAATTGCAAAGAAAAAGAAAATATAAATTAAAAGAAAGGCAATTTAAAAACAAAACTAGTTCAGGCACCGAATTATTGGTGGTTGTATAAAAACTATCAATAACACACTAGTATTATACACTGGCAAACTTTTTTACGCAGAATTTTTTTCTATTTTCTTTGCGTATAATCTTGAATCCTTTCAATCAAGGATCTTCCTCTTGCGGTATTTCCAGGATATCCTTTTGAATAAGGCGGATCTGGATTTGTTGAAACATAGTATACTCCTCTGGCTCTAAAAATATAAAGATAAACAAACTATTGAATATGTGCATTATTAGCACAGAATATGTAGATAACTTAAACTTGATATACAGATTTTTTAATACAGCAATCCAATTAAATATAAATTTAGTTATAATGTATAATGTTATAATGTACAGTTATAATGTGTATTTACTTACTTGTGAGTTAAAAATTCTCCCATTTGCACATACTCGTTGGGTTCAGGATTGCACCATCCCAACATAAAACTCACCAAAGTTGGGCAAGGATAAGCCCAGAATCCTTTTTTGGTTACAACTGATTCGATAAAATATGGCGTTACTTTGGTGTGATCACAAGCCAAAGTTTCTAAGATAAAAACAAATCATAACATTTCATAAAAACAATTTTCTTAAAACTTACTAAATATTGTGTCGCTGGCGCATCCAGGCTGACTGGATCCTCCGTTAATGTAAAAATCGGCGTGCCCATTTGGTCCCCATTGCCCTAAAATACCAGCACCTGTATGAAGAATATCGACGAAATGGGCATCGGAAGTGTCCAAATCCCTTGAAGAGTTTCGACCCATATAGAATACTATTGTGGGATCCAAACCTTAAAATAATGCAATTTAACCTTTAGCCTAATGTCAATTTAATAGTGTCAGAATGAGTTCTAGAGTAAAAATAATATTAACAAAGATTATGTTTAAACCAAAGAAATTTCACTTGGTATTCCTGATTATTTTTGGAACCTGCCTTTACCTTTTTTGGAAGCCCATGATTTTAAGGACAAAAACTTATAATATCTATGAATCACCAGACAATTATATATTATCACCTGAATCAGATGAAATATCCTGTAAAAGCTACCTAAAAAGCGTAGATATTATAAATTCCACAATAACACAGGATTGCTCTGATATTGTTCCTATAGACCGAAGTTTACCCGATACCCGACCACAAGAATGCAAGTTTCGGAATTACCCTGAAAAACTACCCACGACTTCAGTAATAATATATTTCCACAACGAACATCTAAGCTTACTACTACGCACCATTTATTCTGTTTTCCACAGATCACCAAAAAACATACTTCTGGAAATATTGTTGATGGACGATGCAAGTGATAACTACTTGAAAGAGCATTTGGATTATTTTTTGAAAGATTATGATGATCAAATAAGAATAATCAAAAACGAAGAAAAAATTGGTTTTGCACGATCAATAAATAAAGTGGCCGAATATTGCCTAGGTGAGATTATGGTAATATTGGATTCCCACTGTGAAGTTAACGTAAATTGGTTACCACCTTTACTGACTCCCATAAAATATAATGACCACATCGTTACTGTTCCGAAAGAAGATTTAATTGACTTTAAAAGTCTTGAATATCAAAATATAATAAATAACTTTAGAGGTAAGATTTTTTTTGTGAGAAATAAACTTTTTTAACTTGTGTTTTCTTGTTAGGGGTCTTCTCTTGGAACCTTTCAATAGTAAAATCACCTTATATTAGAATTAATAAACAAAAAACGGAACCATATTATAGTCCAGTGCTAGCATCATATTTTGCAATAAAGACCAGCGAGTTTCTAAAAATAAAAGGATTTGATGCAAAATATAATTTACTTAATTCAACCTTCTTGGATTTGAGTATTAAGTTGTGGAGTTGTTGGTGCAAGATTCTGTGGGTGCCTTGTTCCAGAGTAGGAAAAATTAATATTCCAGAAACCCATATAAAAAGCATTCAGGATGATAAAGATAAAAAACGCCTTGTGGATTCATGGTTTGAAGATGATTTTCTGGATTTGTTTTATATAAAATACCCCATGCTAACATTGCTGCCAGAAAATCCAGTATACTTAAAGAAAATTGATTACAAAGAAAATCAAAACTGTGCTAATTTTAAAAACTACTTAAAAAGAGCATCTTTGGGAGCGCAGTTTAATTTAAACCTCACATTAAACTTCAGAAAAGTTAAAATAAAACGTCGTGTTATCTTTAAACTTTCCCATAATATTTACTTTGGTCATTTGAGATCGGTGCTATATAATAAATGTTTGGATACAGACGGAATCCAACCGTTTTATCGCATTAGCTTAAGGAATTGCACAGGTTTAAATAACAATCAGGTTTTTCGTTTAAACGAAGCCGGGAATTTGATAGTTCAAGAGTACTGTGTCATACCATCACTTGATAATTCTAATATTATTATATCGGCTGCTTGTCCTATACATAGTGTGTATAAAGTTCTATCAAATTGGGTCTACCATGAAGGTTCCAAACTGTTAAAATTAATCGTGTACGGTGAATGCCTTTATGTAACTCAGAATGGTGATGTTCGAGTGTCAAACTGTGATAACTTTAATAAATCCTTTGAATGGGTATTTGAAAAAAATATTTATTACAATACTGTTTAAATCAAATTATTTTTCACCTGTTATTCTTCCTATTTTCCCATCGTATTTCGGGCTTAAGTAGTTGGCCGTAAGTCCAGATATGTGGGCTCCTACACTATACCCAATTAAATGCATATCATCTGCTCTTATACCACGTGGATGTTGGGTTAGGTATCTTATTAGTTGGGCTATACATTTTGCACAGAACCTTGGAGCCCATTCCATTTGCTAAAAATAATATTATTTATATTAATAAGTATTTAAATAATCTAATTAATGTACTTTCGTTTAAAATAAACATTTCATTGTGTCATGGAAGTTTAATTGTAATATTTAGATTTTAAACTAAAATACAATACAGTTTAATAAGAATTTCTTTTTATATTTTAGGTATCTAATATTTCGTATTTGTTTAAAAATATCTTGGGAAAGTTGATGCATGACTCAAAATACTTCCTATTAATTATGTGAATTAATAAAGAAAGTACAATTAAAGCTAAACATAGCAAAATTCTTTTTAAATATACGCTTTAAAGTTATATTCTTAAAATGTTATTATAAGAAAAATATTAGGTCTATTTGTTAAAAAAATTAAATAAACATAAAAGTAAATATTCAAAATAAAATACATCTGTCTGACAGACAATATGATTTTAAAAGCATATAAATTACATCCCTTAATAAAGCAAAGTTAAAACTTACAAGCGTATTGGACATTGTGGTTTTAAAGGTACGTTTTGTTGTGCCTAATAAAGCTTCCTATTAAAGTATTATGGTTTTATAAAAAAATAACCTTTGTGATAACTCCTATATATTTAGGTAAAGGCCAAGAGTCATATGTGTTACTTGGGATTACTTGACCCAGGTAATTTTTTTCAAAATTATTCAGTGGCGTAGATACTGAGGGGTTGTTTCACATTTCTCGTAATATCTTCTAACATAAAAAAAAATATTTAATAATAAACAGTTTTTGGTTTTTTAAGTAACAAAATTTGCGATTAACCGGTTAATTTACTTTTTATGTCTCTAAAACTATTTAATCCCTATCAATAATATTTCCTTTATCAAAACAACTTCCGCCATTTTAAATTCCTATCTCATAGCATTAACCTGTGTCAAATAAACACAAACAAATTAATCCGGCTACTTACTTTTAAACACGGCTCCCTGACTAGTGTTCCGTAGTCGACTATGATAATGTTGTAGTTTCCTTTGTAAAAGTAGGCCTCGCGCATATCGGTGCTCGGAGAAAAATTCCTTCCTCCACCGAAGCCATGGACCACAATTTTTGTGGGATTCGCCCTGTTGAATTGACTATTGTACAGCGACTCTTCTTTGGTTGTGTCTAGCTTCTCTGGATTCATCTGAGTTCTTCTGAAAATATGTAAAAAATAAAATATCAAAAAATGTTGAAAGGACATTGTTATAGCTTAATGAAACGACAGATGCAAATGTCTCAATAATAATAATGCTAATTTTTCCCCATTCTCTACTTCTTTATACAATTATTTTCTTTTTTAAACTTTTGAAGAATTGTTTTGATAGTCCTTTATAGGAAGTTATATTTTGCATAATATTGGCTAAAAGTTTTTTTGTTGCCATGGCAACAAAAAAACTTTTAGCCAATATTATGCAAAATATAACTTCCTACAAAAAATAAATAAGAAAATATTTTACCTAACCAAAATTAAGGATTTTGATTTAAATTGTAAACTCGTGAGTGCGTTTGTCAAAATATTATAATGATCATGAAATAATTTCATTGAAATTGGTTGATAAAGTAATTATTTCGTATTTTCTAGGTTAAGTATACCATTTGTTCATTATCACTTACAACTATTAAATTGTTTTGTTGCAATAAAATACGTCTTTCGTAACAATTATTCAATATAACAAAAGGACAATTTCCTGATAATGATATAGTCGTAGCGTGTTCTAATATCGGTAATTACTCGGCTGGTTTCACTGAAAATAACCATCCGTTGAATGAAGAATTGCACATTAAAAATGGCCATTTTCCTTTTTAATTCGACATTGATATTCAATGGAACGAATATTTTGAAATGTTGATATTTTGTACCTTTACTTTCATCGGGATGTAAAAAATAAAAAAGTAATTTATTTGATGAATGTAATAGTGGTAATTTGAATTTTATTAGCATTTACCACTAGCAAATAAAAAAGCCAAAAAAATTATAAAAAGGCTCCCAAAAAGGCACCCCAAGAAGGCAGGTAAAAAGCATAATTATTATAGGCATGATAAAGGCAAAAAAGTAACTAAAGGAAATAATGGGGAATATTAGAACATAAACAAGTTTAAATAAAAATAATTGAAATAATTTGATAAATAATAACCAAATAGGTACCAATGCATTTTTTATGGTTTATGTAAAAATAAATTAGCAACCAAATAAATGTTAATATTGTTTTTTAACCATTTAATATGAAATGTACAGAAATCCTTAAATAAATTAGATTCAATATCCCTTTTTATTTGTTTAAATAATTTATATGAATAAACTAATATAAAACACTTTCTATAATTAATACATACATTTCAGGTAGGTATTTATCGCAAATTAAAATTTAATTAATAAATTTTCTTTTAACATGAAAAGTAAAAAGTTTATTAAAAGATTTAAATTATAATTAATTTAATAAATATTTACCTGGTGTATAGATAAAACTCGATCTGTTTATGTGGACATCTATATGGCTTTGGTATACAGGATGTTGTGTTAAATAGGTCTCCCACTGTTTCAGGTTTTTTCCGACTTTTTTGTGCTTGTCCATATATGTCTACAAAAATAATAGTTATTTATGTCATTAGGTTAAGAAGTAAGGCTTTTTGTGCTAAGCTTAAAGTTTGAAGGCCGACGCGTAGCGGAGGCCTACAATTGAGCGAAGCACAAAAAGACACTTCTTGGCCGAATGGCATACAAAATTTTATCTTCAAAGCACTTTATATAGGTCAATTTAATTCAACATGAAAGTGGCATAACCTCACTTTTTTTAATCTCATTTATTTATTAGCTAAAGATTACATTAAATGTACAATAATTATTATTCCTTTTAGAAGCAGTAATAGTTTGCAATACCTAGCTACATGATTTAAGTAGAAATGGATTTTTGTAAGAAAATGGTTTACTTACCCTCTTGCTATTACATTGAATTCAATTAATTGTTTAATAAATAGGTATCTAATTTCAATTTGTTTGCATTTTTATTAAAAAATAGGTAGTTTGGAATGTTTACGCTGTGTTTAACATTTAATTTTACTGAAAACTTAAAGCAAATTAAAATTTAAAGATAATTTAAATCGTAGAAAAAGAAAACACAACTGTGAAACGTCAAATTGCAATGTCCTAACCTCACTTTTTATTTTATTATTCATATTTAATTCTACAATAATTTAATGAAAAATATTAAACATTATAATGTTATAACAGTAAAACAAACAAATTAGTGCTTATTATAAATAAATTAAACCAGTTTAGTACGTTAATTTCTTAGAAAAGGATTAATTTGTCAAAACAATACCCCTAGCGAGAAAAAATCGAACTAATTACTTGCCTCATAAAAATTTTTATCGGCCTAGGCCATAACAAGTTATTTCTTTATCGAATGTTGACAACAATAAAGTTTAAATTATAGACCGCGTGGAGATAAAATAAATTATTTGGTAAACTGTATTCTTCAAAGTTTTTCCTTTAATTATGTTAGTTTTAACTCTTAATTATGTTGTTTTCGAATTAAAAGAATATTTGTTAATTTCATCTTCATGCTAGACTTAAATGGTTATATCTAATTGTTAAAAAAGACTTCAAATAATTAACCTCTGAAATAAAACGTAGGTACTTAAAAAACATTCGGACTACATAATATCTATAGAAGGTAATAAACTTAACAATAATATAAACAAATTACAATTATTATTCAAAAAGCGTCTAGTACAACCAAATGCTCTGTGAATTTGCCATTTTATTAGTGTTACAACATAAATCAAACAAAGGCCGCATGTATATTTAAAATGTACCAAGACTTGGGTTAATTGAAAGGTCATGACTACCTTAATAGTAAATACATTTTCCTTTTATTTATATTTGTGGAGGAGAAGAAAACAATTTCTTTCAAAAATTCTATAATTTATTTATTATGTTATGTTTAATCTTTTAATTATAATCGATAAGGAGAAGGGTATTAGCATTAAAATGAGGTGGTATGTTACAATCACTTTCAAGCAGGTTTAAACGCCTTTAAAATTACCTTATTTTATTTATTGTAAGAAGTTTATTGAATTTTGTGTGGGCAACGTTTAATGATTAAAGCACTCGTTAGTAATGAGTCATTAAACTATACATGGGTCATATAAAGGAAATCAAATAATGTTTAATAACTTCAATCAAATTGATCTAGAATATATTATGTATCAAAATGATAAACGCCATTTTAATTAGACACGAGCGAGCTTGCAAGCGAGTGTTTAATTAAATGAGTGTCTAGAAAAGTTTATAAACGTTTAGTTGCATACAATACCTTTCTTGCACAAATACTTATCTTAATTATCTAAAAATGATTTAAATTAAAAATTTGTACAGAGCGACATCTATAAAACAATAGAGTAAGCATCCTTGGGAATCTGTATTACCAGCGCGCCGGTAAAAATGTAAAATTTTTATTTATAAATCGAAATAATGTATTCCTTGAAAATGAACCAGTTTTTTATTAAAATACAATTAAACACATTTTCTTCTTTTTAACCTTTAAATTATTATTTCTCCAATTTAACCTTGATCTTGAATTACAAAAAGTCTATTAGTACCATATCTATAGATTAATAAATATGTGTTTAGTACCTACTAAGCAGATATTTATTTATATTGCGTTTAAAAACATTACTTTCTTTTAGACGCTACGAAAACTTTTTCCTATATCTAATAATTGTTATTTATTTTGTTTTACATCACATTAAAATTATGTTGTTATAATTAAATTGTAAATGGTAATGTTGGTATTATGCAAGAATGCGTGTCAAGAATAATTTAACAATTACTATTAATACAGTACACAGAAAAAGTAATCTCTTGTTTTACTATATTTAGCTTGGCTCAAATAAATTATTTATTTAGATACCTACAAGGAGATATTTATTTAGTGGAAAACTTTTTAAATTGATATTTGGTTAATGCAAATAAATATTCAGTTGACTTTTTATCCCAGGTTTAGTAGAAGCTTACTTAAAGAAACAAAACCTACATCCAAACAATTTAATTAATTGCTCTAAATAAATATTTCTTTACAATTAATCACAACAATAAGTTGTTTTCAAGAAACTTATGATTTACAACCAAATAATTTGAAAAAATTTGACTTCATACCAGAAAACCTGTTTCAAATAAATGCATTTTCTTAAATCAAGAGATTACTTTTCTCTGTGTTAAAATGGTTAGTTTTATAAAAGTATTCGATTGTTAATGCTAAGTGGTCAATGAAAGTTTGACCTTGATCTTAAATAATTTTAGAAATATTAGCATAATAAAACACTCTTGGGAAACTACTTTTATTGTAATTGTTTTTTATATATTTTTTTACTTACTTTTCTACACTTTTATCAAAAGTAATTTAACTTTAAATTTTTACTTTACTAAAGTGCCAATTGTAAATATAAAAAATATCAACATAATCAAATGTGTCAAATTCCGAATACAAAAGAGATAGATGTTATTTATTAAAGTTCTAACAGAAAAACCTATGTAGATTTTCACATTTAGTATTATTTTACAGAAAAGGCACTTTATATTAACGATTGTATGACATTTGACAACTGTCAACTAACTTAAAACTTCAGCCCGTGACTAAAAATTGTGTGTTTATATTACTCATTTTTTAAATTAATAGATAAATAAAAATTAATGGCGTCTCTTTATCATACAATGAATAACAACTAAAATTTTGGATTACCAATTTACCAAAAAGTTATATCAAAAGTTATATTAAACGAAAATATATCTTTACCATTTTCATTCGTTAAAATTAAAAATAAATATAATGTTAAGTAACTGAGGTAAATTTTAATTGACAATAAAACCAAATATTTAACTTGTAAGTAATATTACCAATAGTTGGTTTAAATAGTCAATAATCATTGATCATATCTGCATATTTATTTTTATTAGTTTAGGCTTTCTCTTATATTTATTATTTAAGTATATTTTTTAAAATTTATTGTTTAACCCAAATATGTTTAATTTAAGTAATGTGGAACGATACTTGCATATTTTAATTCTTAATATAGAAAATACAAATTATCTCTATTGACTTTAATGTCTTACTTTCAACTGTAATAATACATAACATTTTCCATCGTATTGTTTAAAAAACAAAAAATATCTAAAAACAACCTTCTACTTGGAAAACTTATATTTTCAAATGTTGAAGTGAAAACTTACCGGCAAATCCAAACAACAAAAGCAAATAACAAATCAAAACAAAACTCCGCGGTCGCACAACCGACGTAAAACCCAAATAGCGCAACTTTATCGACATAATATAGTGGAATCAATTTCGATTTGACACAGTTCTCTGAATGCGAAAACAAAGTAAAACACCGTTTGGGTAGATATATCTTCTGGAAACACGCGTTGCAGCTAGTGAAAGTTAACAGCGCGCTACAGACCGCAGTTTGAAGTGGTATGCCATCTTTCTTGGACTTTTGCTTTTACCTTCACTTTTTGACCGCTCCACCACATGTTGTGTCTGATTAGTTACACACATATGCGTTTATCTAAATAATTAGCTGCCTAGGTAGCTATTTCACACGTAAAACAACAACCAGGTTTATGCAGTTTACGTTGATTAGTGCCTGTAAAAATGATTTAGACCAATCGGGTAAGGTTATTTATGGACTGGGTCGTAAAAATTCATTATTTACCAATTTGGACCAATACAAAAATTCTATCTAACCCTATCTAAAATTTTGCCTTTGACTGTCAGATCAGCACAAACAGACTCAATTCTTGGACATTCTTTAATCAGATTTCTATTTTTAATAAATAAATAATAAATTTAATAAATACAACTTATACTTTGGTATATTGCGTGGATAACATAACTAAAAAAAGTCAAAATTAGTTTTGAAAAAGGTCGCACAAGGGTTTTAAATTAAGAAAAAAGCAATATTATAAAATTAATGAATTTATAAAATAAAATGTCATTATATCGATGTTCCATGGCCATTATAAACTAATGCATTTTTATCAATTAACAAATTTAAATGCAAACTTCATTAATATTAATTAATAATATTATTAATTTAATCTAAAAAAATTACCAATGCATGGCTATATTTGAAAATTAATTATAAAGAACTTTTATATTGGGTTGTTTCCTATTTATTTTTAAATGTCTAAAATTTGATTTTTAACTAAAATAGAGTTTACACAAATCCATATAAATTGGACTTTTAAACAGCTATTCTAAATAGCACTTTTAACCTTTTTAAAAGAAGATCAATACCCATACCATAAAGTAGGTAATGCAATGTTAAATAATAACTCAATGCTGATGCATTGTGATTTTTTATAGGAGTGGCAAATATTCAAACCATGAACTGTTATAATGATATTAAATAAAATAATAAGTCTGCATAATACGGTAAATTTATTTATTACGGTAAATTTATTTATTTATGCATGTTTATAATCCATATAACTATGCAGTAAGAAAATATGCATAAAATTAATATAATCTTAATAAAATTATTGTTTGTGTAATAGTATATTATGTATCAAGTTTGACAAAAGCGAGTGCTTAATTAAATGAGTGTCTAGAAAAGATTTGTATATTAAGATAATACTTTTAATATTATTTCACAAGAAAGACACTGTATTTTAACGATTGTATGACTTTTGACAACTGTCAACTAACTTAAAGCCAACTTCAGCCCATGACTAAATCGCTATAAAGCCATAGCTTGTCAATGTGTATTTAAAAGATCACTTAGTGCCATGGAAACACGTACATTTACATTTACATTTTAAAGGTGGGAGTAGAAAAACAAAATTATGCTTCTTGTGTGGTTAAAAATTATCTACTTCCTGTAACATTTTTTAAAATTGTGTAATGTTAATGATTAAAAAACAATACTATTTACTCGTTTAAATATCAAACTTTTCCTAAAAAAACTCATTATATAATGTAATAGGAAATGTTTTTATCTAAAAATATTTGGTATCTTAATGGTGTCTTATGTGGGAACTAAAGAGATATTTAGTGCGGGAAGAAAGTGAATTTAAATATGTACAGTTAATGATTGTAACAATGAATTATTATATTCTTGCAAAAACACTATTATTTAAAATTAAATATGCAGAAAGTCGGCAAATAGATGCTCTTGCAAAAGTTATTTAAATAGGTACTATGATATCAGTAAAAATTATATATATTTTAGAATTTATAAATTAATTAATATTTAATAATTATTAATGAAACAAACTGCATTTTACTAAATATTTAATATTTTTGTCTATTGACATTCAATAAACGATTTTCTTACCAAAAATAAATATTCCATTAGCACAACAGTCAAGAACTTATTTAATTAATTTTAACAAAGTTAAATAAATAAGGTTAAAATTTGAATATATAAATATGCAATAATGATGACAAAGGAGGGTTTTTAATCTCTTTGTGATTAATAATAAAAATACAGGTATTTATATAAGTACTTATGAAACAATAAAATGGAAAACCCTATTAAACAATTCGAATTTCACTTCAATACAATTTGAATAATATCTTTTAGAAACATCAACCAAAATAGTTACCTGTATAATTATATAATTATATTTTCGAATTCTAAATTAAAAAATAATGAAGAGTGTAAAACGCTTAATGGTGTTAACATAAATCGATGTATAAGTTTAAAAATATGTTAATATTTTTGGTCGATTAAAAATTAAATTGTTGAGTACATATCTACATATTGTATAATGCTTGATAAAAAATTATTCAATTAAATTTATTTAAGTAAAAGAGAAGAGAATGTTTAATGGGCACTGTACTACTAAAAGTTCATATAATCTTTTCAAATATTCAGTCAAGAAACTTATTTTAACGATTAACAATTAACGTGACTAAAAACCTGTTGCTAACTTCAGACAGTGACTAAAGCGCCATAAGGCCACAGTTTGTGGTAGTAGAAAAACAAGTTTATTTATTACAGGAAAACGAAAAGTGGTAGAAAGAAAAGCCAGTGGAAAATTGTATTTAAAATTAAAAAATTTGTTTTTCTGTGGCGTGTCATATTTTTCTTCATAAAAACGTATGTTAATGTTTGTGCATGACGCACATTGTGCGCCACTGAGTTACATACAAATTCCTTTTTTTTCTGCTAGAGCACTGCCATACTAAATAAATATAAGATAAAATCTATTTTTTACTAAATAATCCTCCATTTTATTTTTATTTTTACGTTACACCTTGTATACATAAAGAGAAAATGGTAAAAATTAAATTGATTTTGTTAATTAGATCCAATTAGGTACGGATACCCTGTTACTCAATAGTATTAATCAAATAAATTGTATCACATTACTTAATTTAATATATAGATTAGATAAAGGTCACTGCAGTTTCAAGTTGTTTAGGTTATGTTGAGGTAGTGGTGTGTTTACATTTTCTCGTAGTAAGTAATGAACTGTATACTAAAAACCATAACCACACTGTCAAAAACCGCAAACATCAACAATCAAATAAGAACAATGCACAACGAAATCCTCAGGGAAATTTTCCAAGAATCCGTAAATTCAGTTCAACCGCAGACTCTCATCAAAAACAAGGTATTGGTACACGAGAGCCATCTATCAATCGACAGCGAAACCCACCCGATCAGCAAACCATGCTACATCGTAGGATTCGGGAAAGCAGTCGTGGGCATGGCGGTTCAACTTGAAAAAGCCTTGGGCTCCAAACTAGAGATGGGGATTGTGACGGTGCCCAAAGGCATATTCGAATGTTTTAAGGATAATAAGGAAGTTTTACCGGCGCCAAATTCCAGAATAAGGTTTATTGAAGGCGCTGAAAATAATTTGCCCGATAAAAATGCTGAGCAAGGAGCCAAGGAAATTAAGGAGTTAGTGGAACAGCTCCAGGCTGATGATTTCCTAATTGTTTTAATTTCAGGTGAGCAAAAGGTTACAGATGGGAAAATTTATTAAAGGAGTATTACCTAAGTAGATTTTTTATATATAATCATTACAAAATTATTATGGTAATTTTTAAAAAATTGGTGTAAAACGTATTTGGACATTTTTAGATCAATTTAAAGTATAAAAAATTATGTTTGTATAAGGGTGGTTTTCAAAAAACACCCGCCTTCCACTGTCCATAAGTTTTAATTCCAAGAACTTTGTTAAAAATTATCGGATCTTATTGATTTAAAAACCAAGTGAAAGCCTAACAAGCCCTTAGTAAACTATTTCAGAAAATTTTTGTTTAGTTATTTCAGAATAATTTTTTTTAATTTTGAAACTTGTGAAACACACATTTTCGCATGTCCCATTAGCGTTTTATAAAACTTACATGCTTTATAGCAATCTATAACATCCTTAGTTAATACAGTAAACAAATTATATATAAAATAATTAATTTTAATCTACTTTTTTTAAATTTGACTCATGTCCCAGACATTTTTTCCGTTGCGTTACGTCCGTCGCGTTACCGATAGAATATTAAAAGAAACATGTATATGGCAACTTTTTTGGTACTCACGTGATCAACAAATGATGTTCGGACGTACACATTACCCAGCTGAATTTATTTATTCAATCAGGAAGAAGATATCGGTTGAAACAGGTGCGGGTAACGCGAATGTAATAATTGTTTGTCCGCTAAGTTTCTCAAAAAAATAATAAAAATAAGGTAAGAAAAAATACTATTTTTCATGTTTCATGTAATGTCTTATTATTTTTTAAATATGGTTTTACAAAACTTTTTCCACTGCGTTACCGAGTCCACTATGTTACCTTCTGGTAACGCAATGGAATTTAGGGTAACGCAATATAATTTTTCGACAACAAAGTGGATATTTACCGTCGCTTTTATTAAAAGTAGTTTATGATTAACCAATTTAAAATTATTTGTAATTACAACTCATGATATAGATTACATCCAAGGAAAAACTCCACGCAATATAAAAGTACTAAAAGGGACCTTCACCAGCTTATAGTCAAAGAAAAAGGGTGTCTACAATTTAGAAATCTAAGTTGTTATTCTGCAAGTAAGCACCACTACAATGGATTTTGTTTATGCATTACTCTAAAATCGTACCACCCTATATAGTTTCTTTTTTACGTTATCTGATTAAGTCCTTTGTGTACCCCTGTCCGTTGTGATACCAATGTCTATTTCGTTACTTTTTTTAATTTTTTTTTTTTAAAATACTTAAAATGATTTTTATACACTATCACTTAGTAATACGTGTTTATAAATTAGAGTTTAATTCACTAATACAGTGACTAAAAGGTATTGTTTTTTTAACAAAGAATCGGAATGGTTTCTTTTAAAAAGTAACTTAACGAACATACATATTTAAAAAAAAGCATACAATTTTTAATAAAAAATAAAATAAAAAATTGGAGTCAAAAGTTTGTGAACTAAGTACATTTTATTTCAAATTATTTTTATAACAACTATTTTTATTGAATTAAATTTTGGATTTCAAATTGGTAACACAGTGGAGATATATAAAGCTAGCTAAACACATTTTTCTAAAAAAAGTGCACTGCCCGTCTTAAATGTAAGGAAACAAAACTCTAAACATTTATAAAAATCCAACCAAAAGTCAATTTAAGCAAGAGTGTTTCTTGAAAATGACCCATAAAGTACATGCTTTACACCCAAAAGTCACACTTTGATATTTCAATACAATTACCTTATTGAAGTTATGTATCTACTTAACGCTAATTTCGTCCTATTTTCTGAAAAAAATGCAATGTAAGTATGTATTTTTTATGAATAAAGGTCTTAATTAAGAAGAACAAAATATTGTATTGCATTGTTTAAAAAAAATAATTTATTTGTTATGTACGGTTTACAATGGTATTTATGGTTATATTTATTTTAATGATTTCCCTACTAAATTTAGCATACAATTAATTGTATCGACATTAATAGTATATAAATTTTAATAATTAACAATTTTTTAAAAAGTGCCACCCTGTATTACACATTTAAAGCTTATAAACTCAAGTATGTATTTTAATAGTTAATTAAACGATTTTTACTCTAACTCAAAAGTAAACCTAATTTAATCAACACATATATTTAACTAAAAGTTGATGCCTACGAGTACCTACCTAAATATATTTGTCCCGATAGGAGCTTTGCCAATCTATCACACAAACATCTGTAGTACGTTCTTCAACTAAGTGGATTTAGTGATAACATTCCACACGGGATATAATTGCTTAGCATTTGCACTAATTTGCAAATTAATATAGCTAAATAATTTAATGTTAAATAATGGAGTTTGCAGTGATGTTAGGTATAATGCAGAAAACCTAATTAAAATATTACAAAGATGTCAAAAATATAAGCATAAATTTGTTATAATACTATATTTTGTAAAATTTGTACAAAACGAGTTTTAATTGGGCACTAGCGAAGCTCGAAAGCAAGTTTTTTAGAGAAACTTATACGTACGTGATTTAAACCAATCGGATTTTAAATTGCAACCAACGTGAGGTTGGAAATGAATAACACTTTATTTAAATATACGAAGGAAGATAATAATATAATAATCTTTAAAAACGAGAGAAAGTGAGGTTATAATAAATTTTGTTGGTAATAAAATTAAAAAGCATATACATAGGAGGAGTACTTTACTTGTACTCTTAGTTAGTAATTTAAAGTTTTTAAATGTTCTTACTCATATACTTTTTACGTGTACTAGAAACATATCTGCGCACTAGACATGTAATTTATAATTATAATGTTTCAGCTAAAATTTTACATTTTAATTTAAATAATAGATATTTTGCAGATTTTCTTACAGTATAGTTTTGATTTTGATAAAAAAATCAATTTTAATTGATTTCAGTATATATAAAGTATATTTATATTATAATGAACATAGATTTTTTTTTATTTAAAGTGTAAATTTTTTCTGTAATCGATTTTATTTTAATATAAATTGCGTTTTTTAGGTGGAGGTTCGGCCCTTCTCCCTTTACCGATTCCACCGGTAACTTTGGACGAAAAATTAGGTTTAATTAAAAATCTGGCGAAGCGTGGAGCCAACATAATAGAACTGAATTGCGTGAGGAAACAAATATCGGCGCTCAAAGGGGGTGAGTGAAATATTGAACATTTTTTTATCCTTAAACGTGCACGGAATTTAACTGAACTGCACAAGAAAATGTATATACAAAATAATATACTCTCTAAAAATGAATTAGTAAAAAATGACTAATTACTACAGTTATTAGTGGCTGCTTTTTCAGTTCTACCCCAATATTTAAAAGCCAAATCTTATGTAAAATTGTCCCCTGAATCCGAAAATAGGAATTTTTATGATTTTGTTTTTTTACACATACTACACGGAGAGAAATGTAAAGTAAATTTTAGATAGTAAAAAAAATATAGTAAAATTTACTTTAACAAATTTTTAGGGTAACAATATTATATATTCGTCAATACAATATTAAGATTGTAATACAAAATACTATTTTTTATTATACAATTTTAGTAAAGATTACAACACCAATATTACTTAATCATAAATGTATAATATATATTTTAATTTTTAATATGTTCGTATAGTAAATTGATTTTACTACCTACAAATAGTAATATTTACTATATGATTTAATCAAATGTAAGGTGTACATCTAATATTATAATATATTACATATTAATAAAAAATATAGTAAAAATAAAGATACTTTTATGTTTAAGGTAAATAAACAATATATTTAAATATAATATACAATATAGTAACTCATTACATTTTAAACATTCAATTTTCTTAGTTTCTTCAATAAACTTTCTTGACCCATTACTGGTAATACTTATAAAAAAGAATTGAACCTACTTGGTTGCATAGAATGTACCGATTGCGGCAAAGGCCACGTCGCGACGCGTCGTTAGACGGTGTGGATCACGGGATGTTCTTACATCTCGCCTCTGTTGGCTTACCAACCATGTTATATAAGCTCAGGTATTTCTTTGTTTTGTGCGTGTTCCACTACTACAAGTTGCTCGACAGAGTCGTGTCGACACTGATGATACCCAATATAGGTCAAAACACCTGTCTGTCGGTATTTGAAGTTGATGGAACGCACTCAAAGCAAACAACTTTGGCGAGGTGTAGGTTCAATTCTTTCTCATAAATACGCATAGTATCTGGCAATATACAAGATAGTTGTCCCAAATAATAATATAAATTATAGTAAAGGGAATTATAATTATGGTAATCAGCATTATACTTTTCTCTCCGCGGAGAGAAAAGTATAATAACGCGTGTACATAAAATTGTATAATATAAAAATAGCACAACATAATGTTATTAGGCATTGTTATAATAATTTTAGGCAAGTTGGCAGAGCTCTCATACCCTTGCAGAACGGTGTCATTAATTTTGTCGGATATTATTGGAGACCCATTGGATTTTATAGCGAGCGGTCCCACAACGCCAAACAACGATACTTTCATAGATCCAATAAAGATAATAAAGAAATACTCATTGTATAGCGAAACTCCAAATTCGATAAAAGCGGCTTTCGAAAAGAAAAATCGATCGCCTGAAACCGTCACGCCAATTCTAAATGGAAAATACAAACACGTAGAAAACTATATTATAGGAAACAACAAAATAGGTGAGTTTTTGTTGTTGTTTTGTAATAAACCTTCCGTTGGTAGTATTGTTTGCTTTTCATTAATCTGGCGAGGTTCGTTGCCTTCGACAGGATGAATATCAATAAACTTTACTTTTCCATTTGTTTTAAGTTAAAATCAATTTTTCAAACCGAGCGCTCTATTCAATTTACTTCGCGGCTCTAATAAATCTTGATGAAAAGTATGAATGGATTGTATCAAATAGTGGGATCAATACATTCAGTACAAAATAAATTTCTATTCTGAAATAAAAGTACACTTCAATAAAAATATATTAATATGTATTTTTTTCTAACAAAAAAGGTTTTTCCGATTGCCCTGTTTTGGAATAATAATAAATCACCCAGTACATTATTATTACGAGGTGTGTTCAGAAAATATCGGGAATTTACGTTTTTTGAAACAAATATTTATTTATTCGTCTACATTAATGTTGTCGCCTTCTAAATAGTCCCCATTGGATATTATGCACATGTGCCAGCTCTTCTTCCAATACTCGAAACACTTCTAAAACTCGATCTTTGGGATAGCCTTTAGTTCTTTCAGCGATGCGCTTTTAATGTCATCTATGCTTGCAAAACGACGGCCCTTTAAGGTTCTCTTTATTTTTGGGAATAGGAAAAAGTCAGACAGAGGCATGTCTGGCGAATATGGAGGCTGGGGCATCATTACAGTATTGTTTTTGGCCAAAAATTTTGTTCAAAATTTAACAATTTTAGAACAAATTTTGCTGCCACGCGTTTCATACCCAAAACATTCGAAAAAATTTCATGGGATGAGCCAATCGATTTACCAACTTCTCTGATGGTTTATAACCATTTCTTCCACTTTTTCCATGTTTTTATCGGTTGTTAATGTGCTTGTGCGTTCGTCATCTTCAACGTGGAAACTCTTATACCACTTGTAAACTCTTGTTTTACTTATAGCAGACTCACTATAGGCCTTTGTTAACATTTCACAGAATTTATTTCATTTCTTAAGCAAAATTGGATACAAATTCTTTGATCCATTTCTTTTAACGAACGAAAAATCGCCGGGCTCATAAAACACGTCTAACCTTAGCGGCTGCCACAGACAAAGTAAACAATGAAAACAGCTAAAGTTTTTATCATACTTCGGGGGCATGTATACCAACATAATAAAGAATTTTATGACAACCGGACCCTCCGAACTCGCGAAATTTAACAATTCCCGTTATTTTCTGAACACACCTCGTATAATAAAAACTCTTTTTCTAAATCAAAACCAGACAAAAAGTTGAGTTTTTCGTGGCATTTTTTGCCCGTTTAAACCGCTAACTTCTTTATTAACACCGGGCAAACTTTATCGTGCAACATTAATCAATCAATAGATCGTTCATCGTGATTAATACTTAATAAGTTTTCTGAAAACTTTTCAGCGGCCGAGGCGGCCAGAATGCACGCTGAAAAACTCGGATTTCAGTCGCTGGTGCTTTCGACGAACATAGAAGGGGAAGTCGCAGAAATTGCCGAAGCGTACGCTAATCTGGCACGCAACACCGCCGATCTAATTAGAAATTCATCCAGCGAAGAAAGTTTGCGAAGTTTTCGTCAAGCATTGAAAGCTGATTTGCATGTTGCAGATGATTTAATTAGCGGGATTATCAATATGGATTTCAGGTAAGGATAACAGATAAGAAGGTTTGTAATCTCGTTTGTATAACGCTAATTACCAAGTTAGATCCAAGTGTTTACTTTATGCTAAGTGCATACATGCATTTATACTTAACGGGAAAGTTAAACATTAATAATAATAATAATAATATTAATCATTTTTATTTTAGAAACTAACAAATATTCATTTAAACAACATGGTTCAATATGACTCAAACAAAAAAACAAAAACTTTACTATTATTAATATTTTAATGCTTAGCAATTTTTATAATTTTTTTTTATTTTTAATTGTTTTAATAGAGAACATTTTTGTTGAATGCAAACAAGATTTTCATACCACATAATAACTTACCCGTATTAAATGGGATCGAGTTTTTTTATTTAAAAAACCTACACCTTTTCCAATTGATATTCAAAAAGTAGGACTTTGAATTCAGCTATTTCAATTGATTTTAGGAAAGTAGCAATTAATTCAGATAACACCATTGATGTTCAGGAAGTAGCAATTCTAATTCAGATATCACAACTGATTTTCAAAAAGTAGCGAATTGTAGATCTAATTAATTATTGATTTCTGTATTTTTGTTCTGTATACGAGGTGTGTTCAGAAAATAACGGGAATTGTTAAATTTCTCGGGTTCGGAGGGTCCGGGTTAGGCGTGTTTTATCAGCTCGGCGATTTTTCGTTCGTTAAAAGAAATGGATCAAAGAATTTGTATCCAATTTTGCTTAAAAAATGAAATAAATTCTGTGAAATGTTAACAAAGGCCTATAGTGGGTGTGCTATAAGTAAAACAAGAGTTTACAAGTGGTATAAGAGTTTCCAAGATGGCCGTGAAGACGTTAAAGATGACGAACGTCCCGAACGCACAAGCACATTAACAACCAATAAAAACATGTAAAAAGTAGAAGAAATAGTTATAAACCATCAGAGAACTCGCTGATGATGTTGGTATATCGATTGGCTCATCCCATGAAATTTTTTCGAATGTTTTGGGCATGAAACGTGTGGCAGCAAAATTTGTTCTAAAATTGTTGAATTTTGAACAAAATTTTTGGCCAAAAACAATAATGTAATGATGCCCCAGCCTCCATATTCGCCAGACATGCCTCTGCCTGACTTTTTCCTATTCCCAAAAATAAAGGGAACCTTAAAGGGCCGTCGTTTTGCAAGCATAGATGACATTAAAAGCGCATCGCTGAAAGAACTAAAGGCTATCCCAAAGATCGAGTTTTAGAAGTGTTTCGAGTATTGGAAGGAGAGCTGGCACATGTGCATAATATCCAAAGGGGACTATTTTGAAGGCGACAAAATTAATGTAGACGAATAAATAAATATTTGTTTCAAAAAACGAAAATTTCCGATATTTTCTGAACACACCTCGTATATTAGTATTATTGTCCTAATATTTGAATTTTCCGTTGAGCTAATAAACTTATTATTATTATTATTATTATTATTTGTTAATTTCAATTGACGTATTCTGAATAACAATTGTTACTGTCGGAATATTATTTTGCAATATCTGAATTACATCGGCTAATTTCTAATAGTCCAGTCATCTAGGCATTTCACCTCGGAATCTAACGGAATAAGCTGAATTTTTGTACAAACCTTTATTTTAGCATTGCAAATGTTGTCTCAAAAGTCACATATGCCAACGTGTGAGCGGCCTTAGATATTCAAGGTCAAAGGTCGCAAAAATCAATTTTTTGAGAATATCTCCTTTTCTCTGCCTCCTATCGTATTTGCATTTATTATATAAGTTGTAGAGAATAAAATTCTCTACAAATTTTGTTAAAAACATTTTTTTATACGTCTAATCGTTTTTGAGATAGAGGGCGCAGAGTGTGGAGCGCTCAGCCATACGTACCTTTAGCACAAGGTAAATCATGAATCCCAATCTATTATACCGTTTTTTTAATTAATTATTTATTAAATATTACTTAAATAACAACTTAATACCTTATATTTATTTTTATATATTTTTTTAAAACAAATAGTCAATAAATATTACTTACTTTTGACATACAAATAATTAAATAATAAAGTTAATCATTCTAAATATATTCTAATGTTATTCTAATAAATGATAAATGCATTTTAAGAAGAAAAGACATTAAATGAATTTGCCTTGGATATGTCTCTGGTCATCTCTTGGATCCAGATATTGCTTTTAAAATTACAGACCTGGAAATACTATAGTGGGCTTGCTATTAATAAAAAGGTAAGGTATACCTATATTTAAAGCAAGTTGTGGCCCTAGGTATAGGTCTAGGGTTGTGACAGGTAATATTTATTCGTAATATTTTAAAGGTTAACAGGGCTGATTTGTATTTTATTTGTAATAAGTTACTTTCTGAAGGTGATTCTGCGACTTCTGTGCGCGGTATAAAGACTTTAAAAGAAGCAATTATTGAGAGAAATAAACATAAACTACCTAAATACTTCATATTGAGTGTCGAAAATTGTACGCTATAGCGTACTATAGTAAAATTGCAGCAGCAAAACGTCGCCTTGAAGAGACTGGACCTTCAACGTCATCAACTGTACCTTGTAAAAAAGGGAATGATGTGTTTTATTTTAAAATATTGTGCTTATTTTGTGGTGAAGTCGCAGATGAGACAACAAAGGCAAAAAAATCTGCAAAGTACAAACGCGTTATAAGTAAGTTTTTGAAGTTATGACAATTAATGTTAATGATGAGAATGAGTCTGAAATTGCTGGCCAACCTGAAGAAGACGAGGATGAAGAAGATCAAGATTAATAATAATAATAATATTGATATAAATAAAAACATTTTTTCCTACTCCGATACAATTATCCTTCATTAAAATTAAATTAAAATATAAGATATATATGAAGATAAAATATATTTGATTTAAAAGACATATAAATATAAGTATAAGGTATTAAATTTTTATTTTAGTAATATTTATTATATAATTAATTAAAAAAACGGTATAATAGATTGGGATTCACGATTTATATTGCGCTAAAGGTACGTATGGCTGAGCGCTCCACACTCTGCGCCCTCTATCTCAAAAACGGTTCGACGTATAAAAAAATTTTGTAAACAAAATTTGTAGAGAATTTTATTCTCTACAACTTGTATAATAAATGCAAATACGATAGGAGGCAGAGAAAAGGAGATATTCTCAAAAAATTGATTTTTGCGACCTTTGACCTTGAATATCTAAGGCCGCTCACACGTTGGCATATGTGACTTTTAAGACAACATTTGTAATGCTAAAATAAAGGTTTTTACAAAAATTCAGCTTATTCCGTTAGATTCCGAGGTTTGTCCCTTTTTTTGACTAAGATGACTGTACTATAAGTATCATTTGCAATTAAATATCAACTGGAAAAGTTGTATATCATAATATTATTTGAATACCAAAAACAATAATAAGGTATTATTTATTGTTTACGATTGCAAAGCGCTTAAGAAATGCAATGCTGTAAAACCACCTCCCAAATCCAAATTATGTCGAACCTTCGGCCTATGTTGCGAGGAAATACGAAATACACTCAAGGGTAAGATTACGAATATCCCGGTGCATTCGCCATTTTTGTAAAACTTTATTTCATAATTTAATTTAAATTAGCATTAAAATTCATCAAAATAATATAATATCTATTATATGTTTCTCGAAACGTTTAATAAAAATTTGTAATTAACTTTAAAATGAAAATACCAACAAAGTAAAAAGATTTTCGTTTTTAATTGAAATCAACTGTAATGAAGCCGTAAACATCCTTAATTGCCCATCCGATGCTCCAACCTGTTTGTTTTTATTTTCAGCAAGAAAATGTGCTGGGTGCTGGCCGGCGAGCCGACAGTTGTGGTAAAAGGCGCCGGCAAAGGGGGCCGAAATCAGCAATTAGCCCTGGAGTTCGCGTTCCGGGTAAACAGCCACCAAATAAAATCCGCAAATATTTCATTTCTTAGCGCCGGCACAGATGGCATAGACGGACCGACCGACGCTGCAGGAGCCCTGGCGGACGCCAAACTGCTCGCCAACTGCCTCGCAGAGAAAATTAACCCCGCAGACTATTTAGATAATAACGATTCATATAGTTTCTTTAGTGCATATAAGGAGGGAGAGTGTCTAGTTAAGATCGGACACACTGGTACCAATGTTATGGATATACACTTATTAATTGTTGAACCTATTGATAAACAATAAATAAGTTCTTATATATACCGAGTGTATCTGAGAATAAGCGCACCCCTGTAACTTTTTTATTTATAAAGATAGACACATGAAATTTAGCATGGCTAATTAGGATATAAAATGCCACTTATAAGAGTACAAAATGAATTTTTTGAACTTCCGGTTTCGCCGGAAATGATATCAACTTTTGATTTTTAAATGGAATGCCCTATATATTTTTACATATTTGGAATCCTAAGGAAATTCTGAGTCAGACAGCATCTTCAAATTGACTTTTCGATGTTTCCTCATCAGAAAAGGCATCATCATAAAGATCAATCTAGAGTGCTTTGAACTATTTGAGAAAACCGAATTTTGACAAGTTTAGACTACTAGGAATAGCCGAATAACAACCTTCTAAAGCAAGTTTCATTTTTCAGGCATTGTGTGAATCCATTAGAAGAAAATAAATAGTTCAAAGTACTCTAGATTGATCTTTATGATGACACATTTTCTGATGATGAAACGTCAAAACTTCAATTTGAGGATGCTGTCTGACTCAGAATTTCCTCAGGATTCCAAATATGTAAAAATATATAGGGCATTCCATCGAAAGTTGGTATCATTTCCGGCGAAACCGGAAGTTCAAAAAATTCATTTTGTACTCTTCTAAGTGGCATTTTACATCCTAATTAACCATGCAAAATTTCATGTGTCTATCTTTATAAATAAAAAAGTTACAGGGGTGCGCCCATTCTCAGATACACCCGGTATATATATATTAGAGTGCGACTATTTTTATTTTTTTGCTCCCAACTCAAAATCTTGTTGAAAATGTAAAAAAAAAAATTCCTGAAAATTTGAGCCCTTAATATTAACTCAAAGTACTCTACCAAAGCGTTGAGATTTCCCATTTAAAATACACGTAAACTTTGATTATTTTTTTTTAAATATCTATATCTGTGCCATAGCGATAATCTGCACCTGTAGTATGGTACGGGTTACTAAGTCTTATTTTAGTGAAAAATTTTCATATTTTTGAAGATATTTCAAAAGTGACTAAATTCTTTGAAAAAAGGTCTTTCTTATCAGTTGAATCACTAAGATTGATATTTGTTAAGATATAAAGGGTTTACATTGACAATTTATGAAATTTTTAGGATTTTCGTACCAAACTTTTTATAAATGATGATTTTCAATTGTTTATCAGTACAATTTCATCTAATTACGTTTTTCCTACAGTCGGGTGATTAGAGAAAAATAAATAACTCAAACAATCAAGCATAATTATTAATAACATAACTTTAAAGAGAAAAGATACATCTAACCTAAAAATTACATACAACATGTTATTTTTGCTCAATTGTATTGTCAGCATTCAAATTTTAGGCTCAGCACAAAAAGATTCACTCTTTAGCCTTATGACATAAATTATACTGCATACTCCCCAATTTTGTTGTTCATTTCACAAAACTTTTCCCTAATATAAAATTTAAACTTTAACCATAAATAACCATTAGGGACCGATCATTAATCTTAATTTTGGAAAAGGTATCATAGAAAACACAAGTTTAGACATCTTTTTAACTTTTAATGACATTTTGTTCCCATTCGCGATCTGTAATTTATCTTAATCTATGTAGTTATGAATAGCTGTAGGTACCAGTATTTAAAGCAATTATACTGCGGTAGACGAAATAACTATAAAATAATAAATTATTGTTAGTAGGTAAAACGAAAATTCAAAATTACCATAAACATACATTTACACAAATAATTAATCAATGCTTGCTATGCCATGCAATATTGATTTTGCTTTTGCCAATTTTTTCTTTACACAGAAACATTAATAATTCGGTAATACCATTTAAAATTAGTAAAAAATGTTAAATAAAGGATATTAATTCTAGGTTAAATAAATACATGCATTTTGGCTTAGGGACTGTTAACTAAAACTTTTTGTTAAGAAGATTTTTTTTTAAATTCTATTTTTTCCCTAACGATCGCGTGCTGCTAAATAAATTTTATTTTTAAAGTAAGTTTTATGTGTAATGACAAACAAGTAAGATTGGAATTTAAAGTTCGTTGTGGTATAATCGTTTTAAGTGAAAAAACTTGGTAAATTATTTTGTTTAAAATCAAATCATTGGTTTGGGTGGGGAAGATTTAGTACATAGGTGCGATCTTGGTGCCATCTTGATTTAGCTTTTTGGTCAATGGAAAAAATCGATTTTTACCGCAAAAAATAAATCGACAAAAATCAACAACAAAAATTTTTTTTCGCCAAACAAAAAAATACGTGTCTCATTATTTTAAAAGGAAATTTTAAAGTTATCTTTTTTCGCAAACTTCAATTTATTTCAGCTTGCGCAGAACTTGTTTATTTAATGTCATTATTAATGTCATTATAAACTCATAAATTTGGTGTGGGTCGTAGTTTTAAGTATTTTTATCTACTCCTACCTTGACGAGCTGTAACTTTATGGCGTTTTATTGACGGGCTGAAGTTAACAACAGTGGCTTTTCGACATTTTACGTCACGGGCTGAAGTTAGCTTTATTATAAATTGGGAAAAAGTGAGGTTAAATTTGGGTGACAGTTGACAGATGTCAAAATTTTAACAAATAAAGTGGCTTTAAATTCTGTTTTGTGTTCGTCGTAGATAAAGTGTAGTATGCAACTCGTTTATAAACTTCTCTAGACACTTGTTTTTATTAAACACTCGCTCGCAAGCTTCGCTCGTGCTTAATTAAACTCGTAACCAAAATGGCGTTTATAAAACTTGATACATAATATACTATTATGTGATGTATTTAGTTTTAATTTTTAAAATCTCATCTTGTAATTGGTTTAAGAAGATAATGCAAACAAACAAACAAACAAACAAACAAACAAACAAACAAACAAACAAACAAACAAACAAACAAACAAACAAACAAACAAACAAAAAAACAAACAAACAAACAAACAAACAAACAAACAAACAAACAAACAAACAAACAAACAAACAAACAAACAAACAAACAAACAAACAAACAAACAAACAAACAAACAAACAAACAAACAAACAAACAAACAAACAAACAAACAAACAAACAAACAAACAAACAAACAAACAAACAAACAAACAAACAAACAAACAAACAAACAAACAAACAAACAAACAAACAAACAAACAAACAAACAAACAAACAAACAAACAAACAAACAAACAAACAAACAAACAAACAAACAAACAAACAAACAAACAAACAAACAAACAAACAAACAAACAAACAAACAAACAAAAAACAAAAAAATAAAATTAAAAATGATAATTAAAAATTTATTTCGTGACTTATTTTAGCTAATATAATAAAATAATAATTATTGTTTGTGTTTATTTTTTTTGTTACAGTTTATTATTTTATTTATTAATTCTTTTAAAAATGACTGAAGTAGCAACTGCAAATTAATGTTACAAACAAACAAACAAACAAACAAACAAACAAACAAACAAACAAACAAACAAACAAACAAACAAACAAACAAACAAACAAAAAACAAAAAACAAAAAAATAAAATTAAAAATGATAATTAAAAATTTATTTCGTGACTTATTTTAGCTAATATTATAATAAAATAATAATTATTGTTTGTGTTTATTTTTTTTTATTACAGTTTACTATTTTATTTATTTATTCTTTTAAAAATGACTGAAGTAGCAACTGCAAATTAATGTTATTACAAAAATAAACACAAAGAAACTTACTTACACGCCATTAACAATACTTCTTACTCCACTTAAAACAAAAAGAAAAAAACCCTTCACAACACTCATTTTTACGTTTCCTTATACCATAAATTAAAAAAATTCCTTAATAAATAGCACCTAGGTGTTTCAAATCAGCCGAAGTGTCTCGAACGCGACCGAATCGATTTCCACATGGTCTCGGCGCAAGCGCGGTTGCCACTATTATAATTGGTAAGCGTGTTGCCTATTGAAGGCCGCATTGCAATATCGGGGCTTCAACGAGATGGTGTACGAGTTCATGTTGTCGAAATTTACGATAAAATACGCATGATGCCGTATACAAACAGTTTTGGACGTTTTACGTACGCTTTTGTGCTGTTTTTAAGTGTTGTGGTCGGTTTTAGTGACACTCAGTTGGTGATTAACGTGAGAAATCAGGTGGGTGAGCGTTTACTATGATTCTAACCTAAAAATTTGTTTGTTTTTTAAATGATTGCTGAGAAAACTTTGTTTACCTACCTATGCAGTTCTTGTCATATATTTATAATTCTTCTGTTATAAGTTATAATATTTACGTCTGTAATTTATATCAAAAACCTAGTCTTAAATTCTAATGAAGTTTTTAATTACAAAAATTTATTTACTAATTAATAAATAAAAACAATATTATGACAGAAAAGTTAACAAAATCTAGCATTCTAATTGGGATATATAAATTGTTATCAAATAATAACTTAATTATTCACTAATAGATTATTAATTAAAATATATACAAGATGACCCGAATAATCTTAAATTTATTCGTCGGTAGGATTCCTGAAAATACTTACAAGTGGTAAAAACTTGTAGTTGATAATAATTATAAACGTATAGTAGTATTAAGAAGTCTGTAGTCTACAGGGTTATTATAGTAGTATACAGGGTGTCCCATAACTAATGGACTATACAGCAACTGTCGAAATATGAGGTCAAAATAGGTCACAACTGTGTCTAAGTAAAATGTTTACAATAAACGAATACAAACATCTTGTCTTAAAATTAAGATAACGTAAATAATAAATTTATAATAAGGATAAACTTTAATTAAGTTTTATGATGAAAATAAATGGACTTATTTTATCCAAACGTATCTTTTAAAATCATTACTGCTGTAAATTAACAAACCGGTTACATACACAACATCAAAACGATGTTTTGTTCTATTTGTACTACAAATTTTGTAGTATAAAGTATACAAATTTAATATATCTTTTCCGCCCCTAGCTGTTATGCTGCCGGTCCTGCGAAATAAAATTTGCCGCCCTTTACAAATGGATGTTTTCATTTAAATCCGTCAATCTTTTTCGTACACATTTACGACTAAAATAAAACAAAGAACACATTTTTTCATGTCTAAAATTTAAAAATATTTCGAGGCATCAAATTTTTTATTTTGGTTTATTGGACCATTACAAAAAGGCATATCAGATTTAAATATACCTAGTCTTCAAGTAAAAAAACAGTTTTTTCGAAAAGATTTATATTTACCAAGTAAAAAAAAAATCAACTCTAAGCAACACTAATTAGAGTTCACACAGGTCTACACTAAATAGTGTTGTTTTATAACACTACAATTAGAGTTAATTTATAGTTTAATTTTCCTCAAGTAAGCAAGTATAATTTAACACTATAGCACTAAGGATAAAGTAATTTTACACTGTATTAAAAAGTGTTAATTTACCTAAAATTGTGTACTTCTACACTTCCTGGGTAAAATCCACTTTTGTTCAGTGTAAATTAACACTACTTTGGAAAAGTTCTAATTTAAAAAGGTACTTTTACTCTTTTAGTGTAAATTTACACTATTATTTGAGTAAAACCTATTGGTGGTAGTGAATAAAACGAAAAGGTAAATAAAGAGAAACATTTATTTTGGAACAAAAATCTATGACAATTATCAAAATCGGTGCCTTTTAAAATATAATTTTATATTTGGGTAGTATGGCTGGCTTAAGCAAAATGTTTCCTTAAAACGTAAAAGTTTTAGATCAATGCAATTTTTTTACTGGCTGTCAACTTGTAAGCAATGAATTATCTTGAGAATTCATCAGTAATCATTTTTCTGTTATAAAGAACGGGTGATCCCATTGGTAGAGAGGCGTCAGGCGGCTGTATGTCGGGGATTTACCATACGTGTACAAATTTTCCATAATATTAATAAAAATGTAGGTATAGGTTAATATAACAACCATTAGGCTTAAAAATAAAAAGTAAATCAAGTGTGTATGTATTTATATTATTAATGTTACAAGTACCCGACCTACTGCTGTAAATTATTGATATATAATATAGGTCGGGTATGGACATCCTTTTAACATATTGGTATTTATTAAAGAAAAAGGAAGTATAATACCTACCAAAAAATAAGAATGCCCTTTTATGGATTCACCGTGGTATCTCCGGATATGCACTGCGTAGGTATATAGGTACCGACCAAATATTTTAAAACGCATTACCAGTTTTTTCAGTCTATTTTGTCACTATTGGTGTAATTTAACTTTAATTGTGATACAATGTGCCCTAGTAGTGTAAAGAAAGAAGAGCTCTTAGTAACATCAAAACAGACAAAGAAATTGGCATGCACTGTAGAGTACATTTTGTCACTATTTAACACATTAAGGGGTAATAAACACTCACATTAAGTTTTTCTACATTTATTTTAATAATAAATAGTGTGAATGGACCAATGAATAATGTTCATATTCTTTAAATGTGTTTAATAAAGTTAATAAGCACTAAATGCTACCTAGTGTATTTTGTTGTGTAACTTTTACACTTACAAATCAACTCTAATATTTTTACCACTAAATTTACACGGGCAAAATTTTTTTACTGTGTACAGGTTAAACATAATTAAAAATTATTTAGAGAAGGCAATCATAATCCTAGTCAAAAGACATTTACCAACCTTAACTTAACATTTAGATATGATTTCATTGCACAATCTATTATTATTACTATTAATTGTCCTTGTAGCAAAGTCTGTAAATGTGGATAGCTTGGTGACTTTTGATCTACCCATGTTGTTTCGGAGAAAAAAATTCTTAAAATTATTTATAATATACTCACACAAAATAACTTTGCCAAACTATTCAAAATGAAAATAGGTCTATAATTACTTAAACAATTCTTGTCTTTAGTTTTAAAATCATAGTTTAGTTCACTTTAAAAACTATTAGATTTAAAAGCAGTGTTAAAGATAACGCAACATAATTTTAAGAACTGTATACCAAAATACGCTTTTAATTTTAATTTTATAAGAAAGGAAAAGGTTTGAACTGTCAAAGAAATATGTTATGTTTAAAATTTGGGAAATACGCTTTTTAATTTTAACAGACAATATAAAGTTAAACAAGGATGGCTAGATTTTTCTCTTAAATATAATATAAGTAATTTTGTAAAAATATGTTGTTATTACCTAGATACATATCCCGTAATAAACAACAACCATTTAAGTCTTTTCTTCTCCTGTTTTTCTGTACATTAATTATATTACTATCAGCTGTTTAGTTCACATGGGCGTACGCGTAATACAGGACTTTGTGTTCCTTATACACAGCAGTCCATTGAATTGACCACAAAAAAAGGTTTGACCCTCGTACTGTACATAAAACCAAGTATGCAATAAAAATAAAATAAATTCCCTAAAATGGTCCCTTTTATCCGGTTGCGTTTATATCTTTGTTCCATCAATAAATTTCATTATTCGCTCAGGAAGGAAAATATTTCCTTTAATTTTTATCCATGGTAAGTTTTAAGGGGTCTAAAATTTTATACTGAATTTTAACCACAAAAGATCAATTGAGTTATTTTATGAAAAACACAAAAAAATTATTAAGGTAAAACCTTATTTGCCATTTATTTAAATTTCAAAAAACCATCAACCACCAAAAAATTAATTTAAATAATTCAATAAATTCCGAATAATCCCAACGAAATGCAGGTATACAAATCAAAAATTTAAATTTTCGCATTCCGTTTAAATCGAATTTTTACGACTACCTACGTAATTAATTTCGCATGGGCCATTTAATATTGAAAAAAAACATTTTCATACAAAACGAGAATTATACTGGGATCAAATATTATGAAACGGATTTTAATCGGGACGAAATAAAAAAAGGATAAAAGTCTAGTAAAATATCCTGCCAATAGGATGTGAAACGTTAATAGGCGAATTTAAAAACAGTGTTCAATGAAAATGTCGTGTATATGTTCATTATTAACCCTTACATTTTTTATGATCGTTTTTATTTGTAAAATACAGCAATTCCAGTGATTTTACAACTTTTACAAATTTATATACCATTATATACAAAAACTAATATTTAATTAAAGCATTTTAATTGCGACAAAAATGCAGGGCTCTGATTGGTTAATCACTTCCGATAGAAAATGTTAGTTTACTTATGGCCCAACTAAAAAAATGGTTCTGTGATTTAAGTGGCCTTTAAAACGTAGAAAGAGAAAGAGAAAGAGAAAGAGAAAGAAAAAGAAAAAGAGAAAGAGAAAGAGAAAGAGAAAGAGAAAGAGAAAGAGAAAGAGAAAGAGGAAGAGGAAGAGGAAGAGGAAGAGGAAGAGGAAGAGGAAGAGAAGAGGAAGAGGAAGAGGAAGAGGAAGAGGAAGAGGAAGAGAAAGAGAAAGAGAAAGAGAAAGAGAAAGAGAAAGAGAAAGAGAAAGAGAAAGAGAAAGAGAAAGAGAAAGAGAAAGAGAAGAAAGAGAAAGAGAAAGAGAAAGAGAAAGAGAAAGAGAAAGAGAAAGAGAAAGAGAAAGAGAAAGAGAAAGAGGAAAGAGAAAGAGAAAGAGAAAGAGAAAGAGAAAGATAAAGATAAAGATAAAGATAAAGAGAAAGAGAAAGAGAAAGAGAAAGAGAAAGAGAAAATAAAAGAGAAAGAGAAATAGAAAGAGAAAGAGAAAGAGAAAGAGAAGAGAGAAAGAGAAGAGAAGAGAAAGAGAAAGAGAAAGAGAAAGAGAAAATCAAGAAATAGATTCAAAATTTGGAAATAGCTTTTTTAGAAATATTTTACTTCAAATTTTGTATTAAAATTTCCTAGGCAGGTTTTAAAGGTATCAGGAAACCATGAAGGCGCAGAAGTTACGTCATTAAATAAAAAGGGCTGTGTAAGTAAAAGAATGATGGAAATAAATCAATCCAATATACTGCCTTGATAAAGTAAAGAACAGTAAGGTCAAAATAACATAATAATACATAAGGCACATACTGGGCATATAACGAACGAAGATTTTTGTAGCAATCATCCAAATTTGTTAAATGTAATATCGGCGTATACGTATACGTATACTTTTTATATTACGTTTATAATTTAAATGTCATGGTAAAATTTATAAAAAGTCAAGCTAGCAAAACCCATGCTTTTATCGAGAAAACTGGCTTTGGT